CTCACACGAAACCTGTAAATGGTAAGTGTCTTACTCAAAAAATAGCTAGACTCTATGTTATAAATATTTACAAAGAGAGAGCTTTAATTTCTTATAAAGAACAACTTTGATAACTTGATGTTTACAGAGAGAATATAACTTGTATCAAATAGAGAGACCTTTTGAGCTGACTTGGGGAGCAAAGGAATGAATCAGATTTCGGCACCTGTAAATTCATCATAATCTAAAAGAGAAAGAGCATCAAATTTGTTAACGCTCGCAAAAGCACCGGTGCTCGTGGGTTTACGCTCACGTTCTATGGATGTTGCACCATATTCTGTCTTCATAACATTAAACGTAAGATCTTCTACATGATCTACAAAGGTGTAAATATCAAACCGTCTTCGGTCATCTCCCAAACCTTGGATTTCAACCCTTTGGAGAGTGTTCCTTTCGGGATTGAAGAAAAAAACATAAAACGGTTCACGTGTACGTTTCCTCGACAAAACAACTTCACCTCTAGCTGTCACTCCAACAACATAATAATTGTCTAAATCAATTAGGACTTCATCCTCCGGCAAAGTGTAAACATATTTCGACCATTTCTGTTTCTCGACATCCTCTAGAACCCACATACATAACTCACGGTTACCCCTTTCGACCCAATCAATCCCACCTAATTTACCCTTATAGTTAATCAATGTAGTATCTCTCCCAATGCATTTCGCATCTATAAACTTGAATTTCTCAGACCTAACATCAAAGCAAACTATCACATAAGACTCTTCATCAATCACATAATAATACTCTTCATCAATTTTGCAAGCTAAATAATACCAAACTCCATTGACGCATATCCCTTCACCACAAACCTTATGGGATAAGGGACAACGGATCTTCCTCCACCTCATTTTTCCAGTTCCTAATGTCAAAATATTGATACCCGTTCCATTATAAACTTTATTGTTCATTACCAACACTTTGAATTGCTTGTCGATCGGATCAAATCCAAAAAGGTTAATCCTGTTCACCATCAGTTTAGGTAAGGTCGCATACTTACCCGTGATAGGGTTACATATCATACGCTTTCTATCCATATAGGTCTCCATAATAGATAAATAGATCAAACCAGAGGTAAGGCCAAGAAAATCTGGCCACCTGGTTTTAGAGAACTTGGTATGATAATCAACGGCTACTACAAGAGACTTCTCATATGGATTCTGTGGCTGAGGCGACGAGCAGAAGCACCAGTCATTGTATCTTTTGAGGACAAAAAAGAGACGTGGACGAGAAGCGGACCTGGTCAAGAACAACTCGGTGAAATCTGGACGGAGAAGCATTGACCTCCATAGCTTCGATACGCAACGACACTTCCCGATTGACTTTGAAGACAATCTCGAGAATATCTCGAGAATGAGATCATTTGGAATGGACTCGAAATTTTCTCCTCTATTCATTGTCGTTGTATTTGCTTACAGAGTAAGATATACGAATTATAAGACGATGTTAGACCTAATTAGATGATTTTAAGTAATCTCATCATCTATTCATAGTCGGTGCTAACCTAAGGCCCAGTAAGCATGGGCTTTAAACATCAAAATAGAATGACAAAGACTTAACGTTACGGAATAAAACGTTAGTGTGCTCCCAAGTAACGTGTAACACAACTAGGACATGAACATGATAACCAAAAAGAACAAAATGCTAAGTCAACAGAAGAACAAAAGCTCACAAGAAACCTGTAAATGGGAAGTTTCTTACGCATTAAACCTTTATTGCAAACTTAAGATTTTGAGCCAGAATACAAAATTGTAAATATATATTTTACAAAGACCTTCAAATAATTTGATATATATATCGAAACAATTTATGAATCTGGTTGTGATTAACTATGTGATATATAAAGGTACAACAATGATACATACATGTAAACAAAATATATAACTTTGGATTTAAAAATTTTCAGATTTGTGATAATTCATGATCGTTGTATTATATTTTCTTATCGGACGGAGAGAGATATGAATATAAATCACACTGTATGATATATGTTAAGGTTTAAGGTTTAGAGATATTTTAAAATTGTAAATAATGCCTCTTGATTTAAAATTTCGTTGCCACCTCAGAAATTCACCCTAACATTTTTGCTTGGCTTATCAGATATGAGGAAAGATTGAAAAGACAATATGATGAACTAACCATTTTTGCTTGGCTTACCAGATACAGCCGCTGCCGGGCTTCAAACCTATAATCCATTTTTGGAATGATCAATTAGATCATTAGAGGCTTTAGCTAGTGTGCTACAACGGTCTTTTGTTAATCTAAAAATTTATACTATACATATATAAATTCATGTTTAGGCTTTATATTGCAAGCTTAAAATTTGAGCCAGAAGACAAAATTGTAAATATTTTTATTTTTTTTTCCTTCTAATGACTTTTATTAAACTTTAACAAATATGGTTGTTTACAAAACTAGCAAGGAAGGATGGACATGTGTGGTACAAGCACCACTGATCTAAGCATGATCTAGTAGTTTTTACTAACAAGTCTGCACAAGAGTTTTGTTCTCGATGTGTGAAGAGGAAAATTGCATCCGTAAATCGTTGGCGCCATCCCCAGATGGTGTTGAGAAAATGTTTAAGTCGTGTCGTAGAGTTTGCATTATCTCCCTCAAACTCTACCTTTCGATATCCTAGTGCCCAAGTAGATTGCAATGCCCATATTAATGCCGTACATTCCGCCTCCTCTGTTGTCATTCTACCTTCAAATTGTCCCATGCCACAATCTTGGAAAGAGCCATGAGAGTTCCTGATTATCCATCCAAGGCCTGAAACTTGATTGCCCTCATGATGTGAAACATCATAATTACACTTAATCCATCCTCTCGGTGGTTTGCTCCATTTGTTACCACGTCCCGTAACCCTTTGGCTATCAGTCGCTATTGATGCACCTCTTTGTGTATTTTCCAGCCACTCTCTATTATCTACAGTTGCTTGGTTTATGATTTCATCGGCTCTATCAGTTTTCGATTAAATACCAGATCATTCCTGCTTTTCCACATTCTCCACATTAGCCACCAAGGTAAGTATCGAGTATTCCTATCTATATGTGGATCCGTAGATATTTGGAAGAGATGCCTGAGATTTTCTTCCATTGTTTTATTAGGGTCACATAGATATGATGTTGGGATGCCTGCAGCTCGCCATACTAGCGCTACTTGTGGACAAGAGAAAAGTGTATGATCACCTGTTTCCAGTTCCGTGCAGCATCGTGCGCAATAAGGGTTGACATTGATGTTTCGTCGACGTAGGTTGTCCGCTGTCCCTATCACCTGAGAGGCTACTCTCCAAAGGAAATGCCTTAGCTTTGGTGTGATATCAAGCTTCCATATGTTGGTCGCAATGTCCGGAGATGTTGCAAGCGGTGGTTTGGGATCGTCCTCCGACAAATCTTGGTTAATGGCTGTCCAATATCCGGATTTCACTGAGTAATTTCCATCTTTTGTTAAGGACCAGATATATGAATCTTTTGTCAATAATGTTGGCAAATAGATCTTGTAAATGAGGTGGTAATCTTCAGGTTGTATTAACCTACGAATCTGATTCTCATCCCATTGATGTGTCCTTGGGTCAATGAGTTGGTTGACAAGAGATTCCGGGTCTACGCCAGTCATTAATTTGGGAGCCCGTGGTGGTACTGATGATGGGAGCCATGGATCACAGCCTAATTTGGTTAATTTCCCATCTCCAATGCTGACTTGTATTCTCTGTCTCAGCAGTTCTCTACCAAACCGGAGGGAATTCCATCCATAAGAAGGTTGACAATAAAATTGTAAATATATTCATAATTTTTAATTATCTATTATATAATCAAATAAATAATAATATAATAGGTTTTTTATAAAAAAAAATAGGGACCCGTTCAAATATGTTTTTGTGTATTTTGTTGAAATTTTTATCTGTTTTATTTTGTTTTGTTAATATAACTCTAAAATATAGATGTCAACAAAACACATAAAATGGTGAGATGAATAGATAAAGTAACATGAACCTGAAAACAGAACTAGAGATTTTACCAAATGTCTTCCACTCCCTCTATCGTCGATGAATTGTGTGCCAAATGTCTCGATATTTTCAGCGAAATCATTGACTCATTCAATAGTCTCCAAAGTGCTAGGAGCGACAAGAACTGCTATCGGTTTCTCATCGTATCCGACTGTTAGTGATAATTGAGTTTGGTCATATTATTTTATATAATTAATGATTATGTAAATGTAAATTCAACGGGTGTGTTAATGAGTGTGTGTGAGTTAAATTTTTGTGTTGTTTCACTTGTCCGTTTCTAGACGTAACGAAACGCTTACGACAGTAAGACTGAGACATGTATATAAAAGTGGATGTTGTAATAAATAATAAAAGTTTCAGTAAATTAAAAGTTTCCTTTGTTGATAAATCAATATTTTAACACGGACAAGGTCTCATAGCTCTTACCAAGGAACGGGCTATGAGCATGCGCTTCCCTCATGATTGTGATAATTGCGATGGATCGGGCCTGATTGGTAACAGCTGTAGCTTTACATTTTTTACTGTAGAAATATGACTGTAGGTTTATATGCTGTGGCTGTAGATTTTATTGCTGTAGTATTTTGGCTGTAGAATTTAAAATTTTGGAAAGTTGAAAATTATGTGCTTTAGGAAAAAAAGTTTTCTACAGCCAAAAAAATGAATTAAGGAAATATTTTGGCTGTGAGAAAAAAAAGGAAAGCTAAAGCTTCTAAAGCTTGATTGGATGTATTTCAAATCTTTAGAAATTTTTTTGCTTTGTAAAGACTCTAAAGCACTTGCCAATCAGACCCGATATCTTTACCTTTAATATTCAGGATTTGGAACTATTGATTTGTGAATTTTTTGATGTATATAGATTTCGTGAGGAGAGTTATGTTTAACTTCTAATATTTGCTTGAAGGTAGAATCTTCGGATAGAATATTATGAAGACAACTTCTGTCAAGGCTCTGACTTGAATAAAAACTTAATTTCTTATAAAGAACAACTTTGATAACTTGATGTTTACAGAGAGAATACAACTTGTATCAAATAGAGAGAGCTTTTAGCTTACTTGGGGAGCAAGGGAATGAATCAGGTTTCAGCACCTGTAAATTCATCACAATCTAAAAGACACAGAGCATCAAATTTGTTAACACTCGCAACACCGGTGCTCGTGGGTTTACGCTCCTGTTCTATGGATTTTGCACCATATGATGTCTTCATAATATTAAACGTAAGATCTTCTACATAGTCTACAAAGGTGTAAACATAAATCTCTCTTCCCTCATCTTCAAAACCTTGGATTTCAACACGTTGGAGAGTGTTCTTTTCGGGATTGAAGAAGAAAACATAAAACTGTGACGACCATATATCTGCAAATTTCCTCGACAAAACAATTTCACCTCTGGCAGTCACTCCAGCAACATTATACTTGTATAAATCAATTAGGACTTCATTCTCTGGCAAAGTGTAAACATATTTCGACCATTCTTGTTTCTCGACATCCTCTAAAACCCACATACACAACTCACGGTTACCTCCTTTGACCCAATCAATCCCACCTAATTTACCCTTATAGTTAATCAATCTAGTCTCTCGCCCAATGCATTTTGCATCTATAAACTTGAATTCCTCATACCTAACATCAAAGCAAGCTACCACATAAGACTCTTCATCAATTTTGTAACCTAAGTAATACAAAACTCCATTGATGCATATCCGTTCACAACAAACCTCGTGGGTTAAGGGACAACAGATCTTCCTCCACCTCATTTTTCCACTTTCTAATGTCAAAATATTAATAAGCGTTCCATTACAAACTATATTGTTCATGACCAACACTTTGAATTGCTTGTCGATCGGATCAAACCCAAAAATGTTAATCGTGGTTGTGTACTTCACCATCAGTTTAGGTAACCTCGCATACTTTCCCGTGATAGGGTTACATATCACACGCACTTCATCCCTATAAATAGTCAGAGCAGATATATAGATCAAACCAGAGGTAAGGCCAATTAAATATTGCCAATCGGTTTTAGAGAACTTGGTATGATAATCAGCGGCTACTACAATAGACTTCTCATATGGATTTTGTGGCTGAGGCGACGAGCAGAAGCACCAGTCATTGTGTCTTTTGAGGACAAAAAAGAGACGTGGACGAGTGGAGGACTTGGTCAACAACAACTCGGTGAAATCTGGACGGAGAAGCATTGACCTCCATAGCTTCGACACGCAACGACACTTCCCGATTGACTTTGAAGACACTCTCGAGAATATGTCGACAATGAGATCATTTGGAATGGACTCGAAATTTTCTCCTCTATTCATTGTCGTCGTATTTGCTTACAGAGATGTTAGACCTAATTAGATGTAAGATGATGTTAAGTAATCTCATGGAGGGGGAGGTGGATTTGAACCTATTCATAGTCGGTGCTGACCTAAGGCCCAAGAAGCATGGGCTTTTAACATCAAAGGTCATGCACATCAAATGAGAGAGTTTAAGTATGAGAGCTATGGACTAACACATCAAATAAGTAATGGTTTGTGTATACTTCATTGGCTTTGATCTTTATGAAGAAGAAACTTTTTAGTGGGGCTGTGTTGTAACTTACAAACTCTTTTGTATTGAGGTTACCAAATGTCTTCCACTCCCTCTATCGTCAATGAATTGTGCCAAATGTCTCGAAATTCTCCAGCTAAATCATTGAATAATTCAATTGTCTCCAAATAAAGTAGTTTAGTAAGTTAGTAACCATATTTTTTGTTTGAAAGACAATTGCTAGGAGCGACAAGAACTGCTGGCAATGCGATATGAGCATGCGCTTCCTCGCAATTGTGATGCTTGCGATGGAGTCTTAAAGATGGAAAGTGCTGAGTTTTGCTTGTAGAGTTTCGGCTTGGTGCTAAATACATGCGTCACTGACCAAACCTTAGCCCATGTTTTCTTCACTGCCTGGATAGATCTAGCCATCTAGGTACGTACAAGCTCTCTCTGTATCATCCAAGTAATTTCATTAAAAAAAAAGTCAAAGAAAACAAAGATAATGTAATACAGTAAAACCTCTATAAATTAATATTGTTGGGACCATGATATATTATTAATTTATAGTGATATTAATTTATACATAAATTAATAAATATTAATTTATAGTGTAAATTAATATTTATTAATTTATAAAGAGATATGTCTTATTTCTTAAAATTTTAGAAAAAAATGAATTTATAAATTTTGTAGTTTTGGACTTGAAATTTTAATAGTTTGAATAAAAACTTTTTCGAAAATATATTAGACAATAAAATTACAAAGACTATAGATGAATTTATTTATACAAACGATATACGTAAATTCAACTTTATGATTAATGATCTCAATTGTCGTGTTTTAACAGCTATAAGACTATCGTAATGAAAATTATGCATATTCAAAAATTAAAATCTTACAGAAAATCTTTACTATTTTATGATATAGTTATAGAGTACACTACAGTACTAAAATTTAAAACTACAATAGGCCATTTGTTTTATTCAATAAAAGTTAGATATATTATATATGTTCTAACGAAAATTCAATTTAATAAAAAAACAACTAAAACATTCCTTAGTATAACAACATATATATATATATATATATATATATATATATATATATATTTACATGATTATTAATTTAGGATATTAATGGGACCATATATTTACATAGAGATTCAAAAAAAGTTATTATCTTATTATCTTATCGAATTTTGTCAAATTTTACATTGGCCCGACTTGGGACCGGACAGTTTTATTAATTTATAATGTATATTAATTTATCGAGTATTAATTTATAGAGGTTTCACTGTAGAGATCTTAAAAGAACTTTTATAGACTTGACATTACAGAAAAAGGGGTTTTGTGGAAATGGATAAAACTTAACACTATGTAATTCACAACTAGGACATGAACATGATAACCAAAAAGAACAACATGTTAAGTCAACAGAATGACAAAATCTCACATGAAACCTGTAAATGAGAAGTGTCATATTCACAGGTACAGCTAGACTTCTTGTTATAAATATTATGAAGACAACTTCAGCCATGGCCCTGACGTGAATTAAAAACTTAATTTCATAAGAACATTCTCTGATAACTTGATGTTTACAGAGATAATACAACACTTGTATCAAGTAGAGAGCTTTTAGCTGACTTGGGGAGCAAGGGAAGCAATGAGATTTCTACACATATAGATTCATGATCTTCTAAAAGACACTTAGACACAGAGCATCAAATTTGTTAACTCTCTCAAACGTCCCATGAACTTTTCTAGTGGGCTTATATATATATTTTTTAATCTTTGAACCCAGATAACCATGAAGGAGTGATCAAACTGATCATTAGAGGCTTTAGCCCAATGTGATGCATGGGCAGATGAATTTCGAAGAATAGTTGAAACAAAGGCTTGTTCACGTAAGAGACCGGCTCAATATATATATTGCTTCTCCTTCTGGTTCTCTCCGACGTACATCACACGAAACACTGCCACAAAGAATGTTCTTTGCAGACAAGAACCATCTTACCAAGTTAAATAAAATGCTTGCGGAAGGAAAAAAAGAAGCGTCTCTTATCTCATAGCAGAGAATAATGGTTAAAGTATGAATCTTGATGTGTCACAAATAAAGAAAGCCTAAGACTCCTGTTAATGAAATATCTGTGTCTGTGCTCCTTCATCTGGCACGATAAACAGTTCCAAAGGCCTTCATTCCTTCCAAATCCTCAATTCTAATGACTTACAATGAAAAACTAAGATTGACCGAATTACTTAGAAAAACCAATAGAAATCAAAGATTGATTTGACTTTATGAAAAAAGAGTTTTGTGAAAACGCAATGTAGGATAAATCATTAATTAGTTTGCTCCCAACTCCCACGTTACGTGTAACAAAAGTCACTAACATGATGAGAAGTCATACTCACAGCCAAAGTAGCTAGATTGGTATACATGAGTTTGGTTGACTTCCAAGATCAGATTAGCTAACAACAAATCGACGCATATGATCCTCACTCTAGGTTAGCTAATAAGTCGTACTTGTTCTGCAGGAGGATTGTCGGCTGCTTGTTATTCGCAGATGGAGCAGAGTTGCAAGAGGGCGCGAGATGTATGTAAACGTTGTGTGGTTGTTGTTGTGGTTTTGGCCTCTTCCTAATGATATTTAAGCCTTTGTTTACACGGCTTGACTTGAAATGCTTTGCATCGTTAACATTAAGATCCTCTACATGGTCTAGAAAGGCAAAAACTCCACCACAATTCTCAAGTGTTTCAAGGTTATCTCCAAAACCTTGGATTTCAAGGCTTGTGAAAGTGTTCCTTTCGGGATTGAAGTAGTAAACATAAAACGGTTTACATGTATTATTGTTCGCCAAAACAATATCACCTGAAGCAGTTATCCCAACAATGGAAGCCTTGCCGAGATCAGTGACTACATTCTCCGGAAAACTGTAGACATATTTCGATCATTCTTGCGGCGTCTTCTTCTTCTTATTCTTCTTTCTTCTTCTTATTCTTCTTTCTTCATCTTCCCTATTGTCTCTTTCATTTGTAATGATATTTAGGCTGCGCTTGTTCTTCATAGATGGAGCATAGATGCTTGAATTGAGTTGTTTTGCATCGTTAACACTAAGATCCTCTACATACTCTACAGTTGTATAAAATCTGCAATGGTGCTCTTCACGAATATCTCCAAAACCTTGGATTTCAATGTTTTGGAGAGTGTTCCTTTCGAGATTGTAGTTGAAAACATAAAACGGTTTACATGTAGATTTCCAGCTGGAAAATACAATTTCACCTCTAGCAGTCACTCCATCAAGTCCAAGGTCGAGATCATGGGCTTTATTATTCTCCGGAAAAGTGTAGACATATTTTGACCATTCATGTTTCTCCATATCCTCTAGAACCCACATACTCAACTCAATGGCATAAGCATCATCATACTTCCAATTAATAACACCGAATTTACCCTTATAGTTTATCAATGTAGTAGACCAATCATCAAAAACGCAGTTTGCATCAACAAACTTGAATTTTTCAGACCTAACATCAAAGCAAACTAGCAAATAAGTTTGATCTTGAGACGTTTTATCAATTTCGCAAGCTAAGTAATACAAAACCCCATTGATGCATATCCCTTTACAACAAATACCATGGATTAAGGGACATTGGATCCTCCTCCACCTCATTTGTCCAGTTTCTAATGTCAAAATATGATGAACCGGTGAATCATAAGGTAGTTGCTTCATGATCAACACTTTGTATTGCTTGTCAATCGGATCAAACCCCAAAAAATTGACTATCGAGCTTGTGGTCAGTTTAGGTAAGATGGCATACTTTGCCGTGATAGGGTTACATATCACTCGCACTTCCTTTTGTGAGATCAACCTACCATGAAAATAGATCAAACCACAAGAAAAAACATAGTTGTCTATCTTTCCGAGGAACTTCATATGAAAAGTTGCAGCTACTACAAGAGACGACTTATCATATGGATTATGAGGCTGAGGCGATGAGAAGAAGAGAATATCATTGATTCGTTGGACCACAAATAAGAGACGTGGACGAGCCAAGGATCTGGTCAAGAACAACTCGGTGAAATATGGACGGTAAAGCATGGACCCCCATAGCTTCGACAGGCTACGAAACCTAGCGATAGACTTTGCCGGCAATCTCGAGAAAATCTCCATAATGAGATCAGTTGGGATGGATTCCAAATTCTCTCCTCTTTTCATAGCTTTCGAAGAACGTTTATTGCCTTGGAAAATCGTTGCCTTGTGTTGTAAGCAAGCGTGTTCGAATTGATTTACACCAGAGGAATAGAATACATAACTAAGGTTAAATAAGGTTTCATATTCAACCTTATCTTTTCTTCGCCATTTAATTAGGAAATTTACATTATTATTTTTTGTCAACATTAGTAATTTTACATTGTTTATTTAGTTTCCATTTTTTTAACATGCAATTATTTATTCTAATTTAATTTAGAGAAGTTTTACAGAAAAATTATATGAAAAGTCAAATTAAAGAGAGAAAAATGAAGCTCACGATCACGAATATCTCTTTTTCAGAAGAGAAAAAATTGACTAATTACTAATTAGAACTTGTCAAATTGATATGAAAATTAGCATTTAAAAAACAAAAATGGTCGAGACACAATATTTTTTATGGATAAAATACAAGTTTTAAATTTTTAATCCATCACTGTAAGCTTTGTTAAATGTTAATTAGTTTGATGGGAAGTATTGACGTCAAAACATGAGTTAGAAACACTTCCAATTTTTTCTCCTAAAAAATTGACGTTGAGATTTTAGCCCCAACCTCTCGATTGAGCTTTGTGACCATGAAACAAACAAATTCAAAATTTGATCATAAAAATCGAACAAAACAAGAACTACAATCTTAAGTCTTAACAAATAAAACCATCCAAAACCAAAATCAACTTAAAAAGAAACAACAATGGTAATGTCTGTTCTTTTTAAATGAATGCTATGTTTCTTATATCACCACTCTGTTTCAGTTCCCACCAGCACTAATAACATATATTTACATTCTCCTATCTATGGGATGCTTCTAAGCCAACATAAACCGTCCTCCATCAATCTCCGAATTCTTAATGGTAATGTAGAGAAGAGATAAGCAAATAGCGATAAGTCCCGACCAAACATACACAATTGTCGGTGTTCTTCCTCCTCTTCCCATCAAACCTTTCGCAAACGGATACATATGAAGCAAAACCCAACTGGCAAAGAATGTCCCTCCAAGAAGATTACTCCACTGTGGATTCTCGCTGAAAACCGTCCTACAAACCGCGAAAAGTATCGCTACGATGTTCAAGATTATGATTGTTAACGGTGGAATCATCAGAGCAGTCCATTTAAAGAGATAAAGATCAGCGAACTCATCGTCTTCGTCATCTCCTCCTGTTGAAGATTTTGCAGTCAAGGTGAATGAGATTTCGATTCCGGCGATAACTTTGAGTATACCTTGAAGTACCGCGACTAAATGGGCGCTCGTGCCGCCTATTAACCAGAACTGTTCGTTTCTCCACCATTCTTCTAATGAGATACCTGACCATTTGACTTCAAGAACTGCTAATCCACAAAGAGACAATGTGATTATCAAAAGGTAAATGAGGAATGATCCGGTGAGGGTTTCAACAACGAAGTGACCGGAGAAGAGAGATAACGGCGGGAGGAAGCAGTAGGTTAAGATGAAAATGCTTGTGAATGGGTAGATTCCGACGTTGAGGTAAGCGATTCGCTGGAGGAATTTGAGTTTTGGACCGGCGAAAATGGCGTTGTTTCTGGAGAAGAAGATCTCTACTGATCCCGTGGCCCATCGGAGAACCTGGTGGAGCCGATCAGTTAGGTTAATCGGTGCGGTTCCGCGGAATGCGTCTGGCTCTGTTACGCAGTAGAATGATCTCCATCCTTTTTCGTGCATTCGAAAACCGGTCACTACGTCTTCAGTTACGGAACCGTATATCCATCCGACGTTGAATCCCCATTCAGTCTTCTCTTCATACCAGCACGAAATCACGTTAACCGCCTCGTTTACAGTCGCGAAATCAAGCGGCTCGCGGCTTCCGGTCAAAGAGCCAGGAGGGCGTCCGCGTCGGCTTGAGTAAACTGTAGCTAGTGGCCTACCTTGAAACTCTGCAACCTTTACCGAACTCACTAGCATACTCGAGCTACCGAATTGCTTCCGAATCAAACGAATATCAAACCGATCTTCATCCTCGTCGTCAATGTAGTGCTCTGGTTCAGAAGCTACGGTTGCACGACTCTTGATCCGTGGGAAACAGCAGTCGCAGCAAACAGACGGTACCTCCTCCACCACAAAAACATCAGGCGGATTGAAACCGTAAAGCGCGGTTCGACGGAAGAGACACCCCGTCCCAACATACATCGGACCTTGGATCCCATCGAGAGCCCGCAGATTAATGTCGAAAAAAACAGTATTGTTGTTAGCATAGCGGTCAGATGGATCAATTCCTTCAAACCTCTGCGGAAACTGAACATAGGAAACACGGTCGCCGTCATGGTCCATCATGAAACAGATCCCATCTCTAAAGGCTCTAGAGTTATAGACATAGTGGTCACAATCCAAGTTCAAGATGAACGGTCCATTAGACATTATAGCGGAGGCTCGGACCAAAGCGTTCATAGCTCCTGCCTTCTTATTATGGTCATAACCAGGCCGTTTCTCACGGCTCACGTAAACAAGCATTGGTAAACGAATGTCTACTCCTTCAAGATCCAGCGTGCGCCCCTCACCGCCTTTCCCTTCAACCGGTTCATCACTAGGAGGATCAAGCAACACCTATAAACAAAACACAGAGTCAAACACAAACACTATAACGAATCAATTGGAGATTAAACCGTGAATATAAATTACCTGTATAATACTAGCGTGATCGCCTCTGGAATGGTGCGGACAAGGGACAGCCCAAGTACCGGGCCAATGAGTTCCATCACTCATCCAAGTAGCTTTAGGAGCTACTAAAGCAGGCCTTGGTTCCTTAACTTGATCCTCTTCAACTTTCACCTTCCAATGCTTCCATTTCTCTAAAGCTTTAATCTCTTCTTTGCTATTATACGCATCTGATCTCCTTCTAATCGAATGAGACAGCGCGTTAACCCGAACCTTAAACTCCTCATAACCTCGTTTCACATACCGTCGCTCTCGAACAAAATCATGTCTCACCTTATCCTTATAAGGATCCCTCTTCAAACCAAAGTAACTCTCCGGATTCCTCGGCTCGATCTTATGTTTCCTGCAAAACGGAACCCATATTTTCGCAAAGCTAGCCGCCTCAGCCATTGCTTCAAACGTAACAAGCGATCCTCCATCATCTGAGATATAACAAGAGAGCTTCTCAACAGGATAATCAACCGATAAAATCGATAGAATTGTGTTGGCTGTGACTAATGGAGGCTCCTTCTCTGCATCAGCCGTTGAAACAAACACATCAATCCCGGGAAGATCTGATTTCACGGTCAGGTTATTCGGATCTGGTGACTCGAATGTCGCCTTTAAGGCTTCGATATCGGTTGCGTGGTTAACAGGAAACAACTTAGGGATTTGGTCGAGTAACCAAGAGAAAGCAAACCAGATTTCACAGATTACAGAGAGTAACCATAACCATATTGCTTTATTGTTTGGGTTTCTGATTCTCCAGAAGAGAAACAGAACAAGAGATACTACTCGAACAACTATCAGAATCCTGTAATAAAAAAACAAAACCAAAATCAATGTTCGAAAACATCCTTAAAAGATCATGTTTTATGTCACATCAAAGTGTTTGTAACTGACACGACAGAGATTTTAAAGATATATTATTATTATTACCGATAAAGAGCGATGATGATCGGAGAGATTTTGACGATACGAGTTAGAGGATAAGATATCTTGTAAAGCAAGGTATCTTCTTCTTCTTCTTCATCTTCATCTTCACTGATTCTGACATCGGTTAGATCCGGTTCGTTGTCTTTTCCAGATGAACCGGAATCGATGTCCCCGGGAGCAGATGGAACCAGAACCGAGGCCGGATTGAAATCGAATCCCCGGAGAACGATTGAAACCTGCGCCGGATTGTTGTCCGGCGTCGGAGGGATCTGGACGATGTAACTGGTGTGATGGGGGCTACTTCCGAAATCACTGCCGGAATTTGACACGTGGCTGATTCTGGGAAGTCTTATAGGTGATTCTCCGTACATCATTTTAATAAATCTCTAGTTTTCCGTCGCCGGAATCTGGAGAAATGAGACGGAGCAAAAAAAAACGGCACTGAGTAAAAAAAATATTATTATCAGAATCAAAGTTTCGATTTTTAATGAAAAAATTTGTGTGAGAAAATTAATTGGGAATCAAATCCAAAAGAAACTCTTACCCTTTTTAATCAAAATCAGAATCAGTGATGAGATTTTCAAAATGTTAATTTCTTCTCTGTTTTTTTTTGTCATTTACCATAAACGCAAAATTCTGAAATTTCCTAAGAACAAAACGAAACCCAGAAGCAGATTCTCTGGGAAATTTTGAAGATTTTGATTAAATTCGAAAACTTTATGAATTGGAGTGTTGTGTGTGATTATGGGTTTTAAGCGATTAAGGTTTTCTACAAAATCTTATTAAAAGGTCAACAAATTGGTGTGAGAGGAGATTTTGTTTCCTTAATCGTAAAAATTAGCTTTTAAATTATTATTAATTAAAATGTGTTGAACAGCTATTAATGCTGTAGCAAGAGACGAAGAAGTGTGTACACGAAAGGGGTGGTAGAAATGGGGAATTCGAATAATTATAGAGGGTAGTTTCGGGATTTGGTCACTTTTATTGCTGATTCATGATCTTGTCCAGGCGCTGACTCGGAAAGGGAAAAGATTAGGACTAAATATGGAGACAATTAAAGCTAATTGGGCGTAATTTTGTAATTAATCACTTTTATATTGTAATGGACACAAAATTGGGATATTCAATGAATGTCTTAAACCAGGATATATATTATTTTTATTAAGAAAAACTGAAAAACAAACTTTCGTTGATGATACAAGTATACAGTGAATGTAGAAATTGTTTTTTTTCGTTGAAAATTTAGTTATATAGATCATTTTCTAAATTGTAATAAATTATTTGAAAAGTATTTTAGTTATATAAGATTTAAAAATATTTTTCTACACGTAAAAAACAACACTATAGTCAAAGATTTGAAAGTTTAAGATTTGGTCTCAATTTTTAAATTTTGTTTACAAAACCCATAAAAAAAATTGTTTTGTATTGGGCCTCATATTTATCCGGACCGACACTGATTCCGGTCCGAATATTCGGTTCCGGTTTTTTTGCCCAGCCCTACTTATAGACTTCTCGATTCTCGCTAGGTTACTTCGATAACTATACTTTGGTAGTTTTGATTCAGTGAATCCATCTACTCAGAATTAAAATGAAATTCACTGACTTTAATGGATTAGCTTTCCCATTTTATCATTTTTCATATCCCATAACGCTAAAACCCCTTTTTGAGAGAATCATAGAATCATATGCATAATGAATTAAATTTATTCACTTAACCCTCTAGTTTAGGGTGTATTCAAATAGTTGACCCACAAATTTAAGTTTATGCTAAATCCTCCCTTGTACTAATTAATTGACAGAAAAATGTATCACTTAAAGTTTGTAACGTATTTTTTTTTTGCCAAAAGCTAAGTACGACGCACTAATTTTTACGTTTTTTGAACTATATATTTTGACGAATATATAATTTTATAACCCTTTTAATTACACCTTGAAAATATTTATTATATGTATTTATCAAAAATGTATCACTAAAACCAAATATTTATTATATGTATTAATTATTAATTAGTTAATGCAGTAGGCATGCATCAATTCGTTAAAACTTTGAAACAGTTTTTTTTTTTCTTTTAAGGCAAATCAAATACTTCATTTCACAAAGAGTTTACAAAGTATAGAATCTAATACAATACAACTGTTATAAGCAAATACTTTGAACAGTTTATTTTGTTAAGTTCCCATTTGATTTTTCAAAATAAATTTTTAGTCATACAAAGGAAAATGGAAAAGTATATGGTTTGGTAGAAGCAAATAATAAAAGAGTGTCACTTAAATGTAAATATATTTTACATTTCATACTTATTCTCGAAAAGGATATACATGTTAGGTTTGACTTTGAAATTATAAACACTTGGATATTTCTTCTTTTCAATTTGTAAACAGTTGTATTTGTATATTTTTTAGAACGTTTAATTTTAACGAGTCAAAAGATTAGTATGCTTATCAAAACCTTTACTTGTTAATCAAAAATTATAGGGAGACTCAAAAAAATGCCCCTTTTTCAATACTCCTTTTCAAAAATGCCTCATTTGGCTGTCCATTTTTAAAAATACCCTTTTTTATGTACAAAATGACTAAATTACCCTTCTTTTAATAAAAGATATCACAAATATATAAGGAAATATAACAAAATTAGGTCCACAAAATACAAAATATTTTTTGGCGGGAAAAGTGATCCCGCAATTTTTCCCGCCAAAACACTTGTAAAAACTTGTAAAACCTTTAAAATACCTTGTAAAATTTTCCCATAAAATTTTTTTCCGCCAAAATTTGTTTTTTGCGGGAAAAGTGATTCCGCAATATTTTTGGCGGGAAAAATTTACAAGATATTTTAAAGGTTTTTTACAGGGTATTTATAAGGTTTTACAATGTATTTTAAAAGGTTTTACAACGTATTTATAAGGTATTTATAAGATATTATAAGATTTTACAAGCTATATTATAAGGTTTTACAAGTTATAAGGTTTTACAAGTTTTTTATAAGGTTTTACGAGTTATAAATACCTTATAAGTACCTTGTAAAACCTTTTAAAATACATTGTAAAACCTTACAAAACACTTGTAAATACTCTGTAAAACTTTTAAAATACCTTGTAAATTTTTCCCGCCAAAAAAATTGCGGAATCACTTTTCCCGTAAAAAAAATTTTTTGGCGGGGAAATTTTTTGGCGGGAAAAATTTTTACGGGAAAATTTTGCAAGGTATTTTAAAGGTTTTTACAAGTGTTTTGGCGGGAAAATTGCGGGATCACTTTTCCCGCCAAAAAATATTTTGTATTTTGTGGACCTAATTTTGTTTCAAATAAGGGTAAAATGGTCATTAAAAATTAAAAGATGGCAAACTTAAAAATGGACTCTCAAAGGGGGTATTTTTGAAAAGGGGTATTGAAAAAGGGGCATTTTTAACAATTTCTCTAAATTATACTAAATAAAAGACTGTTGAGAATTTTTCGTTTTAACTAAAAATTTCAAGAGAAATAAACAGTTTTTCATTTGGTCTTTGTATGTTTTTAATTCTTTATGTTTAGTTATTAATTATTATAACTTGTAATGGGCCATACCAAACCAAACAAGCTAATAAGACTAACTACTAAGTACTAACTAGGCATTTTTAAATCTTACAAAAACTAAGTTCTTTTCTTAATTAATAAGAAAAAAGTGAAGTGCCATTCGCATGAACTTTTCTCGAGATAGCTTCTAACTAGTTCTTCCGAATTGTACAATTGTTTCACGGAATGTACTATGTACATATCAAATTAATAAGCATTTTATATGGAGTACGTATGATCCTTTGTTTTAATATAAAGTGTAGCTGAGTTCTTAGAGTTTTTTTTTTTGGTTCAAAGGTTAGATGGGTTTTGAATCTTAAACTTAGAAATGGCTTTGAAATTTTGGTGCATAAATTTGTTTTTTAATTTAAACAGGGTTTGCTTTCATTGACGAAGTGCAATATGTTACTTGAAATGGTAGATTATATGAGAATTCTTTCAGTTTAAGTCTTTTAGTATATATATACTTATATACACGCCAAATATAGTGTCTGGTATGGACCGTATGGTCAAGTCAAAAGGCTAAGGACCATGTCAAGAGGATTGCGATTGAATCAAACAAAACATAAATTTAACATTTTATATAAAAAAACATTAAACAAAAAATTTAATGGTATCAAGGTTTTCATTAAATATTTTTCATCGATGAAAATTTTAAAAGGGTAATGATTCATCCAAACTCTTAACCAAACAACTATTCTTCATGTTTTAAGTTTTTTCAAAACAATCATTTAAGAATTTTTCACGGAAAAGTTTGTGAAAGTAAAATCAATTCACTCACTAATATAGTGTACTACAGTAGTGGATCAGTTTGATTTGGGCCGACTTTAGAATCATAGCATAACTAATAGACCCAATTCAGCAGTTCAAGCTGAGTAGAGTGTTATGTAAAACCATTTGCATATCTAATCGATATTTGAGTTCGAGATCCTTGAGCCACATTAAACTTGATTTGGTTCAAGATTCAAGATTTAATATTTTTTTCATATTGTAGATTCTTGGAATGATAAATGAACTTTTCGCCTCAAATCTCAGTCTCTTCCAATGAATCTCCTAATGTTTTACCAAATCTTTTGAACAAAATCTATACAAAAATATCAAAATACCAATATTACCCTTCACTCTTAGCCACCGTAGTAGTTCCTGTTCCTCTCCTCTCTCCCTCTTTCCTCCTCCCTCCGCCGCAGCAACACAACCAGCTAAAACAACCGGGACAGCAACAACTACTCCGACAACACTCCGTCTCGGGGCATTTTAGACATTTCCAACAAGAGCATTTCGGACATTTTGGCTTCCCAAAGCAGCTGCTGCATTTGAACTTGGGACAGCAACAACTACTAAAACAGCTCGGTTTCTTGCAGCAAGAGAAACATCCCTTCAACGACGGGCATGAACACTTGAAACAACCGCATTCGCTGCAACCGCAACCGCAACTGCAGCTAGGTTTGGGACACCGAGGTTTGGGACAACTGCAGCTAGGTCTGCACAGTCCGGAACTACAACATCCTGTGGATTCATCTCGCCGACGGATTTCTTGCCAAATCTTTTTGAGACGAGACTTAGTGGTTGTGTTTTCCATGTCTTGTATAAACCGGTAGAGATGTCTAATGTAGTCCGGATATATCTCAAGGTTGCAATGTCCACCGCCTTTAATCCAGAGCGGTTCATACGGTTCCTTCGCCATTTTCCAAAGCCTGTTTCCGTGTAACCAATTCACCACATCATCATCTGTTCCCTGCGTAACAATAGTACGATCAGTAAACTTTTACGGATGCAAATAGGGTCGAGGCCGAATGATATGGACATGTTACATTTGACTTACATGAATGACAAGAACTGGGCATTTCACCTTCTTGATCTTGTTTACGTTCTGCGATTAAACAGCAAGAATCAGTAAGAGGATAGTGTTAGAACCCCAAGACCGATTAGCTTCCAAATTATCTATAGCCACTTCTAAACCAATTAGCTTCCACATTAGCCATAACCACTTCTAAACTGGTTAGCTTCCAAATTAGCCATAGCCACTTCTAACATCTATCGACAAGTAAAACGCGGCTCCAAAAGAAACTGTTCTAATTTAACTAGATTTGCATGGTATGGTCATTCTCACTTCCTAAATCGGGAACTCTAAGCACTTAAATCGACAAAGACGAAAAGCAGCGAAGGGTATTCTTACCGAATAAATGTCACAACAAAACTTGAACTTTACATGACATAGAACACGAAGACCAGAGAGAATGCCACTATGAAGAACCACACCCCTAAGCCGGGGAAGCTTAGAGGCAAGGTGCAACGTCGGTCCGCTACCAACAGATTGACCATACAAGATCAAATCTTCTTGGCCGACCCCATAATCCGTTTGCAAACACTCATAAACCGCCTCTATATCCGCATATGTATCATACTCACTCGGCTGCAAACACAAATCATAAACCACAATTAGTCAATTGAAAACCAAAGAAAATATTCAATCCGATCAACCTAAAAACTCAAGATATGGCCTGATCAATCAAATCCATAGGACATTCCTAGACTATATGACTATGAGATTGATACAGAACATTCCAACAACCTAGGAAAAGATTTCTAGGTAACATTTGCGATCAAAATTAAGTTATTGGCTTAAATCAATTAAGCATTTAACTAGAGGAGACGCATTTTGACACACCTTACCAGTAGAAGCTCCATAGCCTGAATAATCATACCTGAAAATTAAAACAAAAATATTAAAAAAAAAAATCAAAACTCAAGCAACAAAACTATAAATGAACCCTCATAAATCGACTGACCTATATTGATTATTACAATGAAAGGTAACACCTTATATTATCACCTACCTATGTTCAGATTTAAATACAAATTGAATGGTGGTAGGTGAGAAATTTCGAATTGAAATTGAGGGGTTTAAGTACAAAAGGTCAAATTCAAGAAACTAAAACGACACTAAACAAAACAAAAAAGAAATCACCAAACATTTTACTAAATCAATGCAAATTTTACACATAAAAAAGGCAAAAGAAAATTTGTCGGAAATATCACCAAATCTGAGCTTTTCGGGTAACGAGACAAGAACCCATTTCCCAAAAGCGTGAGCTTTCTCAAGAAACATAAAAATATTCAATGAGTAAAAAAATGTGAACCTTTAACCAAAAAAAAAAACAATTTTTGTAACAAATCTAAAATCATAGAAAAAAACAACATAAGCTAGGGAAAACTATGCTTAATTATTATTACTACTTGCTAAATACGAAACGACGACGTATTAAGAGTTATGAACATCTGAGATAGAGAAAGAGAGAGAGACCCCATGAGATTGACTCGGAGATTGACTTTGAGTTGAACAAAGAGATCAAAGAGTTGTCCCAAATCTGCAGCATTTCCATGTGAGTAGAGAAGTGTGAGTCTTGCGTTAGGGTTTCTCAGGTAAAACGCTGTGACTTTGTTGCCGCGTCTTGTTTTCACTACTTTCACGTCGAGAGATGGGTCACCGGCGGAGGGAAAAGTGGAGGAGGAGGAGGAAGCGGAAGAGACGGCGGAGAGTTTGCCGTCGGGGGTTTTTGTGAGGTGGTAAGTTGGAGGAGAAGGTGGGAAGAAGGCGAATTTGGCGGCGAGGTGAGAGAACATGCACCCCATATTAGGTAAGTTAGTTACGGCGGAGAATACAAAGCTGTGTGCATCAGTCCGCCGTTAGAGAGAGAGAGAGAGAAGGGTACACAGAGACTGAAGAGAAACAGAGAGATATGGAAGAAATAAAAAAGAGTAAAGAAATGAAAATGAAAATGAAAATACTACAAGAGGAAGATTAACAGAGAGATTAAAGAGAAGCAGAGAGAGAGAGAGAGATTGGTTCTGGTTATGTGAGAAAGAGAGAGTACAGAGGAGGAGGAGGAAGAAGAGAGAGAAGAGTGTGTGTGTGAGAGTGTGTGAGGAAGCGTGTGAGAGTGAACGTGCGTTTCCTAGGTAATTGGTTAGTGCTCTGTCTTTACTGTTTCTTCTTCGTTATTTCTTTTTTTTTTTCTACTATTAGTATTTCTCTTCATTAATTTTAATGTTACAAGGAGTAAATATTTAGGGATTTATATATGGAGCAAAACGTAGCAATATGGACTTATTGCTTTTTCGAATTCAGCCTGAACTTTTAAACTATTTGCCAATACTGTTTTTAAATTATATTTTCTTGGTAACACTCTTTAACTTATTTTCTTGCAAATTTTTTGTAGAACTTTCCCTCATCAAAAGTTATATTTTCCTTGAAATTCAAATTTTAGATACATAGTATTAAGCAAGAAAAATATAGGTTAATTTTTTTTCCAAATCATTTATAAACGATGTTTGCATGAAAGATAATGATGTATTTTTTTTTCTTTTTTGTTAACATTATGACTACTCTAATCTAATTTCGAAAAATATGTTTTTTGTTAAAAATGTTTGAAAAATATGTTGAACGTCTTCAATGTCTCTCCATTCTTTTGCGTTGAAATGTAAAATTTATTGGCAAACAAATAATATATATATATATATATATATATTTACGAATAATAAAATCAAGAAAGATGAAAAAAATTTAGAGAATTCCGAACAAACTATAACAGTGGAAACGAAGTATCGTCAAGTGTCTGAGAGCATGTACATAGTTGGTATTCAGAGTATCATTAGCAATTTTTTTAGTACTAATTTTTATGTTTGTTTATTATTTGAGATTTTTTATGATACTGGTAATAAATCTGTTTCCAGTGGTGAGACTGGTATCGGTATCAACAGATATCTCTTCTCTCCAACCGACAGATCTTTTTTCGACGGAGATCTACGGAAGATCGACGGAGACAGATGACGACGAGACATAGAGAGGTGAAGCATGTGCATGTGCTTCTTCGACGGAGATCTATGGAGAACCGCCGGCGATGAGAAAGGATGAGAAGAAGAAGTGCCGTGAAGAGGAGAGAAGAGAAGAATAGGCGATTCGAGTAAATGATTTGTTTGTTTTCTCTGTTTTCACCAAAACCGTGTTTCACGGTCCAATGGTCTTCTGCCACGTTACACGAAATTGAGTATCACATGTATCAGTCCACTGATACGGATCAGACCCAATTATGTGGTTTGGTCTATTATAAAATTGTTTTTGGACTAATGATCCTGAGAAAAAGTCAGGTGTTCTTGGTCTTAGAACTAAAACATTGGGAAATCTGTAATTGCCGAATTGGTAATATGATATCTAGAACATCAATGATCGACTACTTTTAAAACTTATGTTATGTATAGTGTATTTTGAGTTTGATATAAACAAACATACAGAGTGTGACAGACCCACATTTATTAATGTTATTTGATAAGAAGCATGTAACGGGACCTTTCATTGTTCACCTATCGTCCAGACACATGCAATAATTGCATGTTTTTTGTCTTTATAATATAAAAAAGAAATCAATCAATAGAAGAAACGTTTAAACAAGAGATATCCAAACAAAAATTTATAAATATATACCTTCAAATACTAAAATATATATATATATATGTAATTTGGTGAAAGCCACAAATTTTAAATAGTTTCACTGGCTAAATTCTTTTTTCTTATTTTAAATTGTTTATGTTTTGTTTTGAAAAAAAATCATTTTCGTATAAATATTTATGTTTACCGTTTAGCTCGAATGAAATTCGTATCTATAGATAATTGTCCATGCAGGTCATCAACTTCTGGAGAATAAACAACTCTTGCGCAAAGTAACATACAATCGGAAAGCTCTATAATATATACTCGTATCTTTTTAAGTATAACTTAACATATATAATTATTTTTTATCGTTTTGTTTTTTTTTTGGTTTGGATCCTCTTTGAAGTATAACTTAACAAGTGTGTCTATAGAAAGATAGATCCCATAATTAAGGAAATCCACAGAAAAAAACGCTCTCTCCTCTCTCCTAGTTCGCCCTAGCCGCCAAGCAAAACTCCTCTCCGATGGCCGGCGATGGGTGGCTTCCACAGCACCGTCGTCGGTCCCATCTTCTCGTAGTTTATGCTGCTTCCTTTCTTTGTTGGTTCTTGTTTGTCTCTTTTGATTTGACAAACCGTAGCTTCGTCGTCTCCTTCTTTCTTCCTTTTCTCTCGGCGATGGTGGTTCCTCCCAGCGTGGTGACTATCTCAGAGATTTGGTGGCGGATCGGTGAGGTTCATTGAAGGATCTGTTCCCCGGTGGTTCCTTCTTATCTGATCTGGTCTTGGAGGTTTTTTGGTTCCCGATCTGGTTCTAATGTCTCGACAATCTGGTCCTTTGGCTCTGTTCTCGTTGGATTGGGAGTCGGTGGTGTCTTGTCGTATGCTCCGGTTGCTTTCGAGGTGGATCTGAAGAGTTTTGTTCTTGGAATTTGTTGGCTTTGCGGTGGTGCTGTCTCGTTGGAGGCTTGTATTTAGTCAGCTTTTCGTTTCCACGACATGGCTACGAAGATCCCTTTGGTTTTGTGACATCGGCTTCATCGTTTCGGGTTATTCCTCTATAGGTGGTGAGTGACTTCTATGGTTTGTGTTGTGTGTTTCTCTACTTGTTGTGGTTAGAAGCCTTAGGTTCTGCTTTTGGGAAGGCTTGTTTGACTCCTTGCTCGGCCTCTCTTCTGTCTTCCGTCTTGATTTGATGTGTGGTGATTTGGCGAAAGGTTCTGTTTGTGGGCTCTTCATTCGGATGCTAGCCTCCTATAATGGCATCTACTAGCTCTCTCTTGGAAGCTCGTTTGGTTTCCTGGTTGAGTTTTGGACGTTGTGGTGGGTCGATCTCTTATCCTTCTCTTTGCGTGGCGTAACCAGTCATTAGTCTGTAGGTGGCTTTGGCTGGGTCTACGAAGGTCAATGTGTAAGGATGGGTGGTCCTATTTGGCGTTTCCCCTCTCAGATTTCAAGGTTTCTCCTTGAGCCTCCGCCTTCTCGTTTTCATTGGCACTAAAGTGGTCGTTGTGGTTAGGTTCTGTGCTTTGATCTTCTTGTTTGTCGTCTTCGTTTCTGCTGTGGAGGTGGTTGTGTGAGCTCGGTTATATTTCCCTCTCGGTTCCGAGGCTCCTGTCAGTAACCTCTCTTCAGCGCCAAAATGTTCTATGGAAGTGTTAGTCGGCTGCTTGTTGGGAAGAGTTTGCAGTATGTTTGCTTTGGAGTCTTTAGCTTTTTTCCCTTTAGTTGTTTTCCATGTAATCTATTTCCTAAGGTTTTCTGTTAGCTCGCCCTTTTCGGTCTTAGCTCGCCTTTTTCGGCCTTAGTTTCTGGGGGTTTCTATGTACCCGCCGGCCTAGTTTCCGAAAGGATTTCGATCCTTGTCGGCTATGTATAACTCAACCGCATTATATCAATGAAATCTTCAGACGAAAAAGAAAAAAAAAAGATAGATCCCTATGTTCAGATATTGGGTTTTCAAATCTCGTGTTTGGCCTTATCATGACTGTTGATTTTTTTTTTATTGATATAAATATACATATCATTAGAAAAAATGAAAGTCTGGAATTACATATCAATCACACGAGATGGTGATGATACACGTAATAAAGACATTAGACATATGTCCATGATAGGTTCAATCGAAGATGAAGGTGGCATCTTCGGTCCAAAGACACTCTATATACACATAATAAAGATAATGTCTTGACATTTAGTGTTTCCAATTTTCTGTGCTACATGTATTTTGCACTCTTTACATGCGGATGTTCTTTGTTATTTGGGTAATGCAGATTAATGCTAAAGATTTTCTTGCATAATCTCGCAATATTTTCTACGTCCATATGTTGCTTTACGATATGTTGATATTTCATAACTTCAAATTATTTCCAACAATCATTTACTTAAGTATATATGTTTGAATTTGGTAATGATAATATTACACAAATCACTAGGTTGTAAGTGTTATTTATGTTTTGTGACATTTTTGCTAACTTTTTTGAATAGTAAGTGGCACATTAGTTAAATTTCTCTAGTTTTTTTTGTTTAACATTAGAAGATGATAATTATATTCATGTGTTACACAAAATGTTAGCTCATTTGTTTTCCAAGACAATTATTTTATTTTATAATTTTTAATTCCAATCATGCTTTTTCTTTATTATAAATAGAAAAATAAACAGAAAAAAAAAAAGAGAGAGAGACGATCGTAGATTCGTAGTAAATCAAATCACGAGTTTTAGGGGTATTCACATAACGTCATCCATTACTATTTCTAACAAACTGTCATTAAAAAAAAACATACATTATGAACTTCTCCTTTGGATCGCATATCGAGTAATCCAAAAAAATTCTAAGAAACAAATGGTAACTTAGGGGTGGGCACAAGGCGAGTACTTGCTCTTTTAGGGATATTTATTACTTGGCTTGCCTTGTACGAGTAATAAAAATTAGTACTTGTGCTTGGCTTGTTGAAAACGAGTACTTGTAATTTCGAGTACTTGCTAAAAAATGAGCGACTTGCGAGTTACTTGCCTTGCTTTATTACTTGCTACTTGCGAGTTACTTGCAAGTATTTACGAATTACTTGCAAGTAATTTACAAATAACACTTTCAAAATTTTTACATATTTAAATTTTATTTTACTTTTGATGTAATTTTTAAATATATTCTTAAAACTAATATAATATGAAATATATGTATATAAAATAGTAAAATAATGACGAGTAACGGGTCAAACAAGCCGAGTATTAATTTTTTTTCCACTACTTGTTGTTTGGCTTGTACTTGCAAGTATCTAAATTATACTACTTGATACTTGTCTTGACAACAACGGGTACTTGTTTTTTCAAGGCGAGTACGAGGCAAGTAACGGGTACGGAACGAGTAACGAGTACTTGTGCCCAGCCCTAGGTAACTATTATCAAAATGAGCAAAACAAACATGGTAACTAACAATCGGAACAAAAACAAAGAATAACTTTCGATTCATATATCTTTTTTGGGTCAAATGACTATATTTGCTTAACCTATAAATACTAAAATATTTATATATTTCCTTAGGACTAAAATACTTTTTTGTTTGCACTTGATCAGAACTCAAATTTTAATAAAAACGTGTGAACCAAATGCATTAAAATAAAACTATATTCGCAGTTAAAAGATGTCGGCAAAAAAACAAAATATACCATATAAGTTTAATCAATAGTTATTCAAAGTAGTGATAAGTGCAATTTCTTTGGAAAAGTTGTGATCGATACTAAAATAATATTTCAAGGAACACCAAAAAGTCCGACAAGTCACCAAGCTACGCATTTGGGCAGATTACTCTACGGAGGCGCGTGGGAATAACGAAGAGCTCTCTGGCGAGTGAGATATAGATCTCGTGATGTTTAAAGATATCGAAACAACTCAACAAGTTATTCAATTGGAGTTTGACTTTGGCCCTAAAAGAGATCTCTATGACTCTTTGTCCGTAAGTGAGTCCCACCACCACACTAGCTTAATCAGTTTGCTTACTATTTTAGATTTTGTACAAATAATCTTCTTCTTTTGTGGTCCTCTCCACTCCTGCTCTGCCACGTGCTTCACTCTGATTCAATTTATTGATTTTTAAAGTACATAATGTTTTTATTACTTATCTTCTTCTTTTTTTTTTTTTTCTTTTGGTTTCCTTGGTTCATTTTTGTTGTTGTTGTTTTTTATTTTTGGTAAAATGTTTTGTTGTTGTTGTTTTTTTTTTTATTGTTGTTGTTCTTGTTTTTAACATGTTTTGGTGTTGCAAATACGAATACGCATGACAGTGAAGAGTAGAAAATAGATGTTGTGTTACTTGTGTACAGTAGTAGTGTTTACAAGTTTTTTTTTTTAAAAAAAAGGAAGGAAAAAAAGAAATTTAATTGTGAGGAATTTTCTTTTTTCTCACGTATAGGTTTGAAATTGTGGTAATTGTATGCAATGCATGGTTCGACGCTAATGCACTGGACGATCATGCATGTTGAAATATCAGGTTAGTAATTTGGAAAGACCACGCTAGGACCATCGTCGTATATTTATATGAAGAGTGGACTAACTGACTCTTGGATGGATGTACGATTGATTTATTGGTAGTTTAAAGGAATTGTTAACATACACTTCTTTTAGAATTATATAATTTAATTTGGGTTAGGAAATATTATAAACGACATAATCTATACTGTTCACATTTTTATAAGATATTTAAAAGAGTTTGTATAATAGTTTCGGTGGTGGACGATAGCTAACTTTTGCATCAGATTGTTGTATATGAGTTTTAGTCTTTGAAGAGTCTGTTTTCTAATAATGATAGGTAATTATTAGGGAGTTCATAAATTAAAAAGATACCCGCGAAGGTGGAAGGCACAATTAGTAATCCAACGCAAATTAAGTGGACTAACTTAATAAGAAACAAAATATAGTTACTTAATTACCGTACTATTAATCTGATCAACTCATGCTTTAATATTGATTAGAGCATATATCATAATTATGTTTATAACAGCCTTTACGAATTTTCAAAAACGGTGGCCAAGATTGTGACAGTCCTAAACTTTTGCAAATCCTTTGGTTACGTTAATTATCCACCGAATATACAGAAATCAATCGATATTCAGTGTACTAATTAATTACCAAACAATGAACCTATATTTAAAGTTAAACAAAACAATAGCCACCTAGTGTCGATTCTAACCTTTTTCATCCAATTAGCATCTATATAAAGTGATGGCATTTTTATGTAAATTTTCCACAATATAGATTCTAACTTATAAGGTTTTTTTATTAATATTTAAATCCAATTGAATAATAATAAAATCGTCTGTCTAAGAAGGCTTAAACGTCACTCTTCTCGTTACAACGTGGATTCCAACATCGATACATTTGTTTTATTCAAGAAAAAATTTGCGAATAACACAAACAAAAACAAACTGAATAAATTAATCGGTCGATAATCGAGCAACTAAATACTCCCAAATTAAAAACTGACACTGGACTATATAAAAAATTAAACAAGGTCTGAGAATGTGAAACGATTCGGGAGGCACGTGCGATGAAAATCGCATTGAATCAAGAAACTAATAAAAGTGTACAGAAATTAAATATGAACATAAATGTAAGAGTGCATGCCCTTAAAAAAAAAAAAAAGAGTGCATGCCCTTCGCTGGGACTCGTGCACCCAAAAAATTTCTACATGCCATTTTGTAATTATGGTTTATCGCAAATGACGTGAGGATAAGACAACATTTACTATTTAAAATTACGTATAACAAATGTAAAATAACAAAACCTTAAAGTTAAATTCAATATTCATGCATAACAATATACTTATAGATAGTTATCAAAACGTAAATAACTAATAGAGAACTTTTGTCACCAATATAAATTATCCAAATAGAAAGCAGTTTTAATTTTTGTCGTCTAGTGAAATTGTGCAATTTTGCAAGGATAAAAAAAAAAACCAAAATTTTCTTGAAACAATATAAAGGAAGAACTTTTGTTCTTGAGGTTGACACGAAAGAGGTGATAGTACTCGTGATAACTATTTGTGGATATCGAGCCGTGAAAAGTGAAAACCACAGTAACTTTTCACTTCCATCTCAAGATTATTGCTCCGGAGAATAATGGAAACGAATTGGTAGAACTAGAATCATATAACAAAAAGTTGAACATACATTTGTGTTATCTATTGTGATTTTCTAAATTTCACTATAAATAATAGAACTTCTTTACTTCCAAAGAATATAAATTACTAATATATAAACTTAGTGGCTATAAGTTTATGAAAACACATAAAGATAAGCCGGAATACGATTTCAGTTGTCCTCATGTTTAAAGTTTTGGCAGAGAAGACTAGTTTTATACTTTTATCTTAAATTAGATAAGGAATTAGCCGCGTTAGAGTTAAAAAAAAAACAGAATAGTAAGGTAATTACGATTAGGCTTTGCCCAAAAAAAAAGGTAATTACGATTAGGAATCATAGAATGTGACATCTAATTTATTTTTTATTTTTGGTTCAAAGAATGTGGCATCTAAATGCAGAGAAAATAATAAAAAGAAGAGAGACAGATTTGATAGTTGTTATTATTCATTGATCACACACGATTCCCTTCTTTAAATTCGAACATTTATATCATTATCATAGTACAAAAAACAGTCGTATATCACATCAACTTGAATAAAAAGTCGGAATGATTATAATGATGAGAAAAAGCTGTAATCCAAACTTTGATCACTAATTAAACACTAAAAGAAAGTGTTAATTGTTGACTTAAACAGATGAAAGTGAGTGGTGTTGTCGCTTTCCAAATATAATCCGTAATTACTGAGATGAATAGAACCCAAATTTGAATAATTCACTACTAATGTCGCTCATTGTCATAATGTAATAAATAGACAAAATAAAATAATACCTCACTGGTTATGCTTTTTAAAGCTTGTTTGTATTTATGAAAATAAGAAAGTGAGGGGAGATAGTGGAAGAAGAAAACAGAGAAGAGACACGTGAATACAGAGACAGAAGCTTGAGAGTATGTGACATAAGGATCCAAACAGGCCAGACACTCATCACCTCTGTCAACTTGCCAAGTAACACATAAATACTATGTGTAGTACCCACACACACACTCTCTCTTTACGCGCTCTTAAAAGTTAGAGATCACAACAAAATTGTTTTCGATAGTGAAATAGAATGTATTGACTAGAGGAAAATTCCTATTGAATAATGGTGGAATTGTTTCTCAGAATTTTTTGCAAATTTATGAGAGATATTGTTTGTCAATTGTCACTAATATGGTGGTATTCAAAGCCTATAAATATCTATATGAAAGACTAAATTGGAATAAAATCATGAAGCATATGAGAAAGCAGAGAAGGAAGAGGCATAAATTGGGATTGTGAATTATTCGGCTCTATATAAAAGTAGCAATCCCTCAAAAAAAAGAAAAGAATATTACATATGAAAGCATATGTGAATCTCTAAGAGCCTAGCAAGAGTTTGTTTTCTCTCACTATTCATATGTACACAAAACCAACTTCTTCTTCCTACGTTAGAACCAACAACATACCTGTTTTTTTTTTTTCTTTTTTTTTTTCCTTGTTGTTTCAAGGAGGCTTTGGAACTTTTTTTTTGTGAAAAATAACGAAAAAAACTCCCTAGGACAACGTGTGAATAATATCTCCATTTTTTTGAGTATTTCCATTGATTGTGTGTTGTATCCTGCAGATAAAAGAACAATGCTCTCTATTTATACAGTTGCAGCAAAACTTTTGAGACAAAAGATTTATGGGTTTTGAACATGTTACCCCTAAAATGAGAGAGACTAATTCCAAGGTTGTGACAAGGAGACCGCTGACGTTGATGCTTCTACTCCTCTTCTGTGTTTAATCGCTGAGTTTAAGATCTCGTATTGTTCATTGACCGACTTGTACAAAGCTTGGCTGTATGCTTCTTTCGCCTGCCATACCACAAGAAAGTATGTATATCCATAATGAATTACTCGATCTTGAAACTAAAGTAATTGGTGTGCTGAGTTATTGAAAGACCTCATTAGGGTTCTCGCAGCCTGCTGTGACATCTGAGAAGCTGATTTCAGGAGCAATTGATAGTCCTGTACCGTGAAACCCAACTAATCTTTTCTCTCCAATTTCTTTCTCAACCTGGAAGATGCACAATGAGGTGATGGTGAGAGGAAAGTAAAACCAGAGTAAGCTCAAAACGGAAAAGAGAGACTGAGAGAGAGTAATCAATACTTGTGGTGGAGGGGGCATGATGTCATAGCAAAGCAAAGACATTGGATATATATGTCCAGGAGCACCAGAATGTTCAACTAGTCTTCTCATGTTGTCTACCGAAGAAGAATCAAAGGGTGCCTGATCATTATTAGATTAGTATACTTGCAAATCTACCAGACTCAGATTAGATCTCTGCATTCCATCAAATAACTTACGGGAAACCATTCTCCTGTAGAAGGATTCGGGCGGTCCCTTCCACCGCTTGGTGCAATCCATATAAGTTGACCGCCAGACCTACAGGGTTATCAACATTAGCAGAATAAACATCAATGTTTCTCATTAATTTCTGCTTCTCTGATATCTAATAAGAACATTTGCTATTTAGTTCCAATAACCTTAGCATTGTAGCCATCTCCTTTAAGCTTCGTGTGTTTGCTTTTCTTTTCATGTCAACAAGCTCAGGATCATCATTCATGTGCTTTTTCGAGTAAACACATATGAGGTTCCTGAAAGCAGTAGAAATTCCGGAAATCATACAAGGTTGCTTAGATTACACTTCAGCCCATCAGGTAGCATACCATTGCAAATGAAAGCTCGTGATACCTTCCCATACTAAACGGCTTACAAAGAGGATCAGTGATGACTCGATCACCAGCTACGCATTTCTGCAACCAAAGAAACGGATAAGAATAGAGACAATAGCGTATAGAAGAACTCAGAAGCAAGGCTTGAAGGCTCACAATGTTCTCTCCAATGAAAGGAGATTGTGCTTCAAGCAATAGAGAAATGACCGCCGGATCAGCTTCACTTTGATGGTTTGATATCAACACGATATTGTGTCCCTGTAAATAAACATTTGAATATTAAAGTCCTAAATGGAAAGGAGTTCAACTGTTAATGAAAACAAATTCCATTAAAAACTTCAAGTTAGTTAACTAGAGCACAAGAAAGAGGGAAGAGGACCTGCCGAATCTTGTCTTCCAGCTCAGAGAATATAGAAGCATTTCCAACGTACGAATTTCTGCATAACATATTCAGGGGCTGTTAGTAGATGAACCAAACGAAATTAAAAACAATACTGTTTTCTAATTGCATTTCAGTTATGGATAAAATATGATAACTATGAGTGCATATTCCAGCTTACTTGAAATCAATTAGAGGACGGATGTATGTATGGACAAACATGTAGTAGTCAAATGGTTCTCTGACTGCTTTATGATATGGATTAAAAGTATAAGGATCCTGAAATATTCACAGGGCAAGGAAGCTCAAGTAAGAGAATATTTAGATGACATCTCCTAGTAGAAAAATCATTCCAAGAGATTGACAAAAGAAGTACCTCCACACCAAGAAGCATGCGATCAAAAGCAACAGACATGTTTGATATAACAGTCTCATCTGCCCTAGAAGCTCCGCTACTTAAAACCTAAATAAACATGGCACCAATCCAAATAAACGACAATGTGAAGTTCAGTGGGCTGATGTTCTTTAATCGAAGTAAATTCCAAAGCATAGCAACAATCGTACAAACTAGTGAGTGATAAAAGGATTCATTTACTGCGTTTTTGTAGTTCCAATACAATTCTTCCATTCCTGATGCAACATTTGCAGGCAACCTTCCAGCTTCAGCTTCCTTCTTGATACCAGATAAAAGATCTGAAGATGGAAATAGAGGCATTGTTACACATCAATCCAGAAACTCCTAATTGCACTACAGAACTACAGACTTGAAAAAAGAAATTATCTGATCTTTCTTAAAGAAAGCGAAAGCAACACAACGTAACGAATCCAGAGACGTTCTTATCGATTATAACAAGAATGGAGCAAGATCAAAGCAAAAGCCAAGAAGTCAATTCGATTAACCTTATCCAGTCAAACAAGAAACAAAGTCGAATATCGATTTCGCGATAAGACTATGAACACAAAGAATCGAACAATCTCCATAACTCTATATTCCATCTCCGAATTGCTACGACAAGTGAAACTAAAGAATCAATTCAAATTTCCTCAGGAAGAAGAAGAAGAGTAACTAACCTTGTTCACTTCGCGCATCCAAGAAAGTACGGGAATGATTAAGCTCACTCGGCGACTCACCGGCGATTTCATTTAAAGCAATGCTCGCCGAAACGGAAGATTCCTTATCCTGAACAAGCTCAGACATCGCTCTCACACTAACGCCGCCGCGAGAACGAAGAGGCGGCAGAAACAGCTTCTTCGCGGTTAATCTGAAAGAAACGAAACCGCGAAGAGTCGACGAAGCGAGTGGATAAACCGGAACCCTAGCGGAGGAGGTTACGGTTGCAGCAGCAACGGCAACGGTTGCGGCGGAGGAGGAAAACGTGAGAGTCATTAAAGCGTGTTTGGTGATTGGACGAAGCAGAGCGTGTGTGTGACGGAGATCTCTTCCTCCTTTTTATTTATCCCATGAGTCCCTCTTTTTCACGTTTTTTTTTTTTCACCAAATTAAAAACTCATTTTTCTATTTTTTTAAAATAATATTTCTATTTATTTTCCTCCCTGTTAGAAATAATTAGAAGTTGCCTCAGTAATTTTATTTATTTTAAGAACTCATAATTATAGTGATAACATGTAACAATTTTAAATTTAATAAAATGTGGATATTGTGAGTCAAGAGTCAAGAGTCAAGACCATATTATAACCTCACATCTTAATTTTTGTTTGCCCCCTTAGTTGCGTCCGTACTTGTATTTTGCCTTTGTGTTTGTTTGAAGAAGTCATGTTTGTGTGTACACATAATGAATATCTAAATATAAATCATGTGATGTCAACAACAAAAAATCACGTAACGATTCTAAAATTATAGATTGTGGAAGTAGTCCAGATCAAATTTAAACTTTATAGTATATCTTTCTTTTTTTTCCCTTAGTTGCGTCAGTAGTTATATTTGTTGGAATTTGTTGGAAGAAGTTATATTTGTACGTACACGTAATGATATTTAAAATCATGTAACAACAATTATAAAAGATTTACAGTTTTTTACTTTCGTGATATTTAACACACTGACTAGATAAGCTTCAATTATTATCAGATTCTCTCTTTATTTCACATTTAAAGAGTGTCGTGAGTTTGTTTGTGACATAAACGGCACAAAACTCAGCTCCACCAACTTGAGGATTGGGTTTATTGACAAGTGTCAGATTGTGAGTGGTTCGAATATAGGTCGAGAGAACCGAATCAAACCAAGGGTCCCATTACTGATTACTGCAGGAGACTGTGTTATTGAGAGAGAGAGACTAATAAAAGTTTGATACTTAGACAACAACAAAAATATCTCAAACTAGAGTTTTGATTCCAAGTGACACCTAAAAACTCCAGTACATGAAAACATGAAAGCAACTTGTATGTAGATAGGAGAGTGAAACCTCTATCCGAGGAAGTTGATGATCACCAAGTGCAGGACTAAGTTGCAGAGAACAAAATCAGCAAAAGCTCTCTCCGGTGCCAAATCCTGCAGTTTACGAATGATTTTAGTTTAGGATATTATACAATAGTACATTGCATGAATCTAATGGTAATGTAATGAAAATATTGGCTGTGTATAAACCCTTAGGGAAAATGAGATCAATGATAAGTTTCTCAGAGAATTGATTCCCATGTTCGGAAGTTCTTTTCAACATCTATATGTCCAGAAACTTGTATATTTCTTCGATGGAATCAATGTACTAACCAAGGGATTATTCCCGAGAATCTCTAACTCTCCCACAAACCCAACCTAAACCCTAATCAGTTAAGTGAATTTCTAGAATGCTTAAACAGTTTCTGCCTAATTCCCTTTCAAACTCTAATCTCATATAGCTGAAATTCACACATAGCCATAGCAAATCCTCCTAGTTAGTTCCAACTTCCAATAGTCTTGCTCTTGCACTACACTAACAAGAACACCTTAACATTATAATTGCAGTGTCACTAAAGCTTAGATGGAAATGTTTTGAGTTTGGATGGATATATATATCAATCAACCACATTGGGGAAAAAGAGGAGGGAGATGAAAAATTGCCATTGTTATAACAAAAACAGTGGTATGTTTCTTGAAGAGAAGTAAAATTGTCATCTAAATGTTTTCGGAAATTAGCATTACCTTGAATTCCTTGTTTTCTTTGTTCACTTGGATCCGGAGGCAAACTATAAACCCAAAATAAAGAAGACTTTTAGATTCACACATTCTCAACGATACGTATTTTCCTGTCATAAAAGATGCTAAACTTACCAGCAAGAACTGCAGTCCCAATACAAGAGAGAACTCCAGATAGGAATGAGTTAAACGGAAATGATCCCACCAGAGCCATATAAGCCACCTAAATCAGTGAAAAATCATCAAAACTATAGAGATTAAAACTCACTAGCCATTTCACTGGAAATGCTACTCAGGAGCACAAGGAATTCAAATTACTTATCCATCATAAATTTATTTACTACTGAATTACTACTCATGAGCACAAGAAACAAAGAACAAGAAAATGCTTTATCTCCTCAGATGAGTAGAGTGGAAATTTTTGTCTTGAATCTATCATTTCATTATAACAAATCAATTCGATAACTACATTACAATTTGAGGTTAGAGGTTCGTAGGATCGATTTTTAGATCTAAATCGATTACCTAATCAACAAAATTTCACTAACCATGGACGCGTGAAATAATACAACAGATCCATAAAAAATCTAAAGTTCCGTAAATCGCAGATCTAAGAGAAGCCATAATTCAAACAGATTAGAGTATGTACCTGAATCAGAGCGGTGAAGACAGCGAAAACGACATATAAGTCGATGATCTGCAATCATAAGTTCCAAGGACACTCAATTTCAACAGGATTCGAAAATCAACGTTGATCCTTATAAAAAAACCGAAGGTATAAGAGAAAACAACAATGGCGTACCTTCAGATTAGTCGGCGTAGCGGAATAAGCAGAACGAAGAGATCGAAACAGATCCTGAGCATCCTTACTTGTCGATTTCACCATTTTCGAATCGAAGAACAAACAAATAAACACAAATCCCTTTCTTCGATTGCTCTTCTTCTTCGTCTTCACGAGTCTTGAAGTCTTTTATCACACTTAACAAAACTTCTACTCTCAACGACGTCGTTTAAACAAACGGGCCTATCTAAAGATTGTTTGGGCTTAATTGAGTAGCTTCAACGTCGTCGTTTTGAGTATTGGATTTAAACCAATTTAAATAATTAAATATTTTTTGTTGCTTCAATTCCGCCGAATAGTACTAACCACATTTTTCTCACTTTGCCGTCTTCTCCGGCGATTTTCAGACACTAGTTTTCTCTCCGGTTGTTGTTACAATCAAATTTTCTGTCGGAAAAATGACTTCGTTTCTTAGTTTCTCCGCCATTTCAGCTCATCCACCTACTTTTTCCGGCGCTTCATTTCGTCCCCGCACTTTCTCTCCCCGGTCATTATCTCTCTCTTTTAAACTACGTTTCTTCATTGAATTTCCATAGATTCATGGATCTAATTGATACCTTCCGACAAAAGTATCTGCATTGGGGTTTTGAAAGTTAGGATCTTTAGAGACTCTGATTTCTTTGAAGTCGAAAGATTAGAGAAGTTGATAGTTTTCTTTAGTTGATAATGAGAAGTTAAAAGAAGCTTCTTTTTTTGTGTTTACAGATTGTTCAAGTCTTGTGTTAAGTGTACTTATGCTGAAGCTGGATTAAGCAGCGATTCATGGTCAGCTCCTATTGACGTTGTGGCAGATGTCAAATCCGAAAGGGTACGAAAGCGAAAGAACGAGCCTTTTTACTTGTGTGTTTATATGATTTTGTGTCTCAATTCAAAGGCATTTTCTCTTATTTAGGTTGTAGTTCTTGGTGGCAATGGTTTCGTTGGCTCAGCTATCTGCAAAGCAGCAATCTCCAATGGTATTGAGGTTGTGAGTGTTAGCAGGTATAGAAAATGTAGAAGCAGAATGCTTTGCATTGAAATTTTGACCAATCTCGCCTTTTATCGATGACCGATCTTCTCGGTTGATTCTTTAGGTCGGGTCGTCCTAACTTCGAAGGATCATGGTTGGATCAGGTTACATGGGTTACTGGTAATCATTTCTGTTTTTGGTTATATCAAAGATTCACATGTCCAAGGGTGATTATTAATGTGTTTTTCGTCTTTGTGGGATTTTGTAGGTGATGTTTTCTATTTGAATTGGGATGAAGTACTTCTTGGTGCTACTGCTGTAGTTTCAACCATTGGTGGTTTTGGAAATGAAGAACAGATGAAAAGAATCAATGGTGAAGCTAACGTTACCGCTGTGAATGCTGCTAAGGATTTTGGTAAAGTATCTCTTTAGTTGAAAACCCGAGTTATTATTCGCATTTTTGTAGTTTTCATTTCGATTCTTTTATTGTTTGTAGGGGTTCCTAAGTTCGTCTTGATCACGGTTCACGATTACAATCTTCCGCCATTTCTTCTCTCCAACGGATATTTCACCGGAAAACGTAATGCGGAGGCAGAACTTCTTTCCAAGTATCCCACCTCAGGTAAAAGATCACCAGATATCGGTTCTGTTTTGGTTTTCAAAATATCCTATCAGAAAGCTTACCAACTTTCTATTATCTTATTTTTGTTCTTGCTGTTCTTAAAGGAGTTGTGCTAAGACCCGGTTTCATATACGGGAAACGAAAAGTGAACGGAATCGAGGTCCCACTTGATCTAGTCGGGGAGCCACTAGACAAGATCTATGATTCCGCAGAGAGGTTCATTAGACCGTTGAGGTCTCTCCCTGCATCTGATCTCATCTTGGCTCCACCGGTTAACGTCGATGATCTAGCACTTGCTGTGATTAACGCCGTTAAAGATGACGACTTCTTTGGCATATTCACTATTGAACAGATCAAAGAAGCAGCTGCAAAAATGAGAGTGTGAAGAGTCTTTAGATACTATTAAGTGGGTGTTATTGGTTTGTGGGTGGAGTTTTATAGACTAAATAAATAGCTTCGTCAAATTTGTAATGTATATCATTTGTAAAACGTATATATGGGTAACGTTGTTAAGTCGATGATCTATTTACTCCTCAATGTACATGGGTCTATTTGCATAATTCAAAATAGAATAACAAGCGGTATGTATTTTTATTTCCACTGATTTAGAAATGTAAATAAGATGTAAAAATTTTAATGATTTAAAATCAAATACGTGAATTTGAAATCAAACAAAAAAATTCCAAATAGCAAGATTAAATTTGAGTTTGTTTTTTTTTGTATTTTTAAATTCAAAATCTGTTAAAATCCTATATTAAATGAAATCATATTTTTTCACATCCAATGAAACATCACTAACAAATAACGTTAGATTTTAACTAGTATATAGAAATTAGTAAACGAATAACATATGATTTTGACAAAAAAATTGAAATCTTGAACCAATAAAGTGTTCTAAAATACGGTCTATACGGCCGTATATACCGTGTATATACGTTATATAATGGTTGTACAGTTTTTTTAATACGGTAAAAGCTATACGGTCTGTATATACGACGATTATACAACGTATATATAGTGAATTCCGCATATACAACGTTTTTTTAAAAAAATACTAAAAAAAAAAACTATGTCTTTTTATTAATGTTTGGAAGAAACAGTTTAACAAAACTGTTAGTTTGGCTCTCAAAAAATTAACCATAAATATTAACTTTATTATCATTTTTTTCTATTTTTTCATGGTTATTAGTTATTCAAAATTTTAAAAATTTGTTTAAAAGTAAAAACTTTAATTTTTTCTTGTATTCATTTATAATATTCATTATGATTATTTTAATTTTGCAATTATATATGCATATCTTGCAATTATATATTTTTCTCCATGGCCCTAGATACTTAAGTCTCGTTCACTGCTTTATAGATTCACCACATTTGCCTTTTACTTTCTGCAATGTGATCCTATAAATTTCGTATTATGCAAAATCACCACCACAAGAACTAAACATATTCCAGGAAATTGAGAATTCATTTTGTTCATAAAGAAATAAAAGTCTATTTTTAAAATGATGTGATGTACTTTTTTTTTCCTTCTTTTCATCACATTTAGCCTTTTAATCCAGAAGAGCAAAAAAAAAAAAAAAACTAAGTGGAGTATGAAAAAGGGTTTAAGAAAAAGGAAATTGTGAAGTTGATGGTTCCATGTCTACTCAATCTGACATGAGATTGGCAGTAAATCAAGCAGCTTTGGCATCTCTAAAGATTACGAGGTCCAATAGTTCCAAGTTAGCTTCTGCAGATAATGTTTCTTCGAGTGCCTCTAGAAAAGGAGAGAGGGGAGGTTTAGCAGCGTTAATGAACTTGGGGAACACATGTTACATGAACAACATAATTCAATGTTTGGTGCATACTCCCCCTGTCGTTGAATTTTTTCTGCACGATTACAACTCCAACATTAATGCAGATAATCTTTTTGAAAAGCATGTAAGAGTCTTTTGATATCTGTTTATATTCAATATATTGTTCTTATACCCTCGGGCGCCAAGATTCAAAGATAACTATACGTGGATAAATGTTATGCAAAAAAGAAGAAGAAAACGTGGAACAAAGTGATGATGCAAAATATTTAAATCGGTTAAAATAATTATTTGCATCGATGTAGTAATCGATGTTAAAATGCACCAGTGGTAAAAAAATGATGATATTTTGCATTAGTTAATATAAATGATGTTAGTATTTGCATCAATTTATCAAAATAACTATAATTTTTGCAATGTTTATAATAAGTAATGTTAAGTGTTCTAACTCTTTCCAAGAGATATCATCGATCTAGTGTTCTCTCATAAGCCAATCGAAGTGTTATTTCCCATCCTCAAATTTGTCTTTGTTATTTTAATGAATAATTGTAGAAATTTAATTTTGATAGATTTTTTATAAGAAAAAACTATGAAAAAAGTCCAGACTTAGTATATAAGATGATATCTTTTCCAAGTCAATAGTTTATGACTATTATGCGGATCTTCTATGTTTTAAAATAAAATAAAACTTCTTAGTTTAGAAATGTGATATATTTTTGGAAGTATGTTGATAGTTGGTCAATTTGATGGATTTTTTGTATCTCATTTACCATGTCTAGCTAATTTTGAAAATTATTTATATTAAAGATGATTAAATATTCTTACCTTTATAAAAAATGTATTTGGTCTTAAATATATATAAATCAAATTTATTTTTTTCCTTGTTGTTCTTTTGATTGATCAATCATTTTATTCTGTTACAGAAAAATATATGCCGTTATGTAACAAAGAAACGGAAAAGTAAAAACCGTTAGAAACAAACGCGGCAAAATATAAGCAACGGTTACCGTTACTGTCTGTTATTTTTTTGCCGCCAAACCATTTTACCCGCTAAATTTTTTAAAAAATATAAAATATTATTATAAAATTGCAAAACATAGTATAATAATAACTGGAAATTAGCTCCAATATAGTATTACTATAGAAAAAACTTCTAACATAATCCTCAACTATTAAAATTCTATTTCCCACTAGCCTTACAAAAAAACTTTATTCAATCTCTACGCAATAAAAATATTATTGATAGTTATCTCCATTCAAATGGCCCCGTAGTCTACATCGATTCACAATCTCATCAATCATGGTCCGTCAATACACACTTTCTAATTTTCAATAATTTTATAATTACATTAATTTTAAATATTTTATTCTCCTCATGAAAATATTATTCCATTATTGTATTCGACCATATCTATCTGCGTGTATTGACCGCCTCTACAATAAGTCACCACCCAATCAGATCTCGACTTTGACTTTTATTAAGTGACCGACTCGTCGTTTTAATAAAGCCCACATGATTTGCTTTTCGTCCAAGCAAATTTTTGGTAAGAGAAAGAGGAAAAACTCAGGAACCGCCGACTTAAGATTTTCTTCATCTCCAAAATCGCCGATTATATATAAATGACTCTTCTTCTTCGATTCAGTTTCTTCTTCGTCGTCATCGCCGGCTTAGGGTTTTCTTCTCTATAAGCAACTACCTATCTTCTTCTCTTCCTCCGGTTAGCTTTTGCTTTTACAGAGATTATTACCCTTGTTGCCTCAGCGATCGATCTGAAAAAAAGGTTCGTCAGGTTCAGTTTCCTTTTCGTTTTTGTTTCAATTCTTCGCATGCGATTTGAGGATTTTTGATCTCGAATTGTTTTTTTTTTTTTTTGAAGTCGGTGATTGTAGATCGGCTTAGATTCGTTTGATTTTGAGAGGTTTTGAGTTGTTTTGTTTGAATTTATGGATTATTCGTGTGATTTTGCTTACGATCTGCGTTTTGGAGTCTCTAATTTTGAAAATCAATGAAACTGCGATTGAGTTGTTTCGATTTATGGATTTTGTGAAGCAACAGAGCTTTTTAAAGGTTATTGGAAGCTAAAAATTTGCTGGTTTGTATTTTGCAGGAACTTTAATCTTGCCGACGGCTGTTATATAAAAGACGGTGGCATTTCTTCTCTGATTGTGTTTATTTTTATGACGGAGAAGATGAACACTATTGTAATCTATCAGGCTCTAACTGTTACTGTTGGGTGAGTTTCAAGCTCATGGCTTGGATTTACTGTTCTAATTTTGCTGGATTGGTGATTGTGTTTTTGTTGGTTTGTTTATGTGTTTACATGTAAATAGTGTCTCATAGGATCTTTCTTGTTGAGTGTGATGTCCATTTCTTATTGATTCATTTCTGTGTAGGTTGATTTGTACCTTCCGTCTTTGTAATGGATATCTGTGCTCTTTATAACACAAAATACAACAAGCAATGAAAGACTGTTCGTAATGTTGCTTACTGATGGAAACTGTAGCAAATGTCTTTTTTGAAGTAATGAAACGCTATTATTATATGATGATAGGTCTCTGTTTACTGATTTTTATCATGTAAACTGTGAGGAGTTTTTGTTTGACTCTATTCTCTTTACTATAGTTGTTTAATTTTTTAAGCCTTTTCCATTTCTTTTGTGCAGTGTTTTCTAATGCTGTCGGCAAGACACTATCTTTAGGAGTGCTAGGGAGTTTAGAGCTTACTCAGTTGACTTTTTCTTTCAAGGTTATAGGTTTAGTATTGTTAATATATAGAAATGGAAGCCAAGATCGTCAAGGTGTTGGATAGTAGGTGTGAAGATGGATTCGGGAAGAAGAGGAAGCGCGCAGCAAGCTATGCTGCATATGTTACTGGAGTTTCGTGTGCAAAGCTGCAAAATGTGCCCCCACCGAACGGGCAGTGCCAAATTCCTGACAAAAGAAGAAGGCTTGAAGGTGAAAACAAGCTTAGCGCTTATGAGAATCGCTCTGGGAAGGCACTGGTCAGATACTACACTTATTTTAAGAAGACGGGAATCGCTAAACGTGTTATGATCTACGAAAATGGTGAATGGAATGATTTGCCTGAGCATATTATATGCGCCATCCGCAATGAATTAGATGAAAAGAGAGCTGCAATTGAGTTCGAGCTGTGCGGTCACAATTTTATATTGGACTTCTTGCACATGCATAGACTAGACTTGGGAACAGGGGCAAAAACCCCTCTTGCATGGATTGACATTGGAGGCAAGTGCTTTTTCCCTGAAATTTACGAGAGTGATGAAAGGACCAATTGCTGCCATCATAACTGTGTGGAAGATCCAAAACATAATGCTCCACATGATATCAAACTGCGCCTTGAGATTGACGTTAATGGTGGCGAGTCACCGAGGTTAAATTTGGAGGAGTGCAGTGATGAGTCTGGTGATAATATGGACGATGTTCCCCTTGCTCAACGATCTTCAAATGAGCACTATGACGACGAGGCAACAGAGGATAGCTGCAGCCGAAAGCTTGAAGCTGCTGTTTCGAAATGGGATGAGACTGATGTTATAGTCTCTGGTGCTACTGGAACCGAAGTACTTGATAAAGATGCAGTAAAAAAAATGTTTGCTGTAGGCACAGCTTCTCTAGGACATGTAGCAGTACTGGATGTGGGCCGTTTTTCCAGTGAGATTGCTGAAGCTCGTCTAGCACTTTTCCAGAAGCAGGTTGAGATAACTAAGAAACATCGAGGGGATGCAAACGTTAGGTATGCTTGGCTTCCTGCAAAGAGGGAAGTTTTATCAGCAGTTATGACGCAAGGACTTGGAGTTGGTGGAGCATTTATTAGAAAGTCCATCTATGGTGTTGGAATCCATTTAACTGCTGCAGACTGCCCTTACTTCAGGTATTTTCTTGCTTTGTCTCTTAATTTGCCTCGTATTCATTTGTTTTTCCATGTTTATATCATATATTTTACCCTCCTCTCTGCAATATGTACTTTGGGTGTCAAGTATTAACCGTGAACTTGTTTTCAGTGCTAGATATTGTGATGTTGACGAAAATGAAGTTCGTTACATGGTTTTATGCCGTGTAATAATGGGGAATATGGAGCTTCTTCGTGGTGATAAAGCTCAGTTCTTTTCTGGTGGAGAAGAATATGACAATGGAGTCGATGATATCGAGAGTCCAAAGAATTACATTGTCTGGAACATCAATATGAACACCCATATATTCCCGGAATTTGTTGTTAGGTTCAAGCTGTCTAATCTCCCCAATGCTGAAGGTGATTAGTTTGTTTCTTTTTTGTTCCTCACATATTACTTTTCCCCATTCAAATCAACTGATGACGCATTGAAAGGGAGACAGCTTAGAGATCTGGCTGAAGCTCAGGTCTCAATTGATAAATTTAGAAAAAAGGATCCATGTGTTGTAAACCTAACGACCTCCGGTGTTATAACACATTTGGGTTTCAAGAGACACGTCTCTGATTCATCATCCGGGGGTCGGATGAGATACTCACGCCTTAATGGGTATTTCGATCCATTAAATTCTGTTTTGTGTAGTATTAGAAGTCGATGACATACACTGGTTTCTGCAGGTAATTTGATTGCTAAGCGTGATAACTCAGGGGTCACTTTGGAAGGACCTAAGAATCTTCCTCCTCAGTTGGAGTCAAACGTGAGTTTGGTTATTGTAGTTTTTCTTTGTATGATGTTATTAAAAGAAAAGGGATTGAACAACTATTCTTGTGTTGTTGTGTGTTTTAAAAGCAGGGAGCAGGAGGTTCAGGTAGTGCAAACAGTGTTGGTTCAAGCACTACAAGACCCAAATCTCCATGGATGCCTTTTCCTACTCTGTTTGCAGCAATCTCACATAAGGTTGCAGAGAACGACATGTCGTTGATCAATGCTGACTACCAACAACTGAGGGTATAGAAAAAAAATCTGAGTCTGAGAGCTTGCTATGTATATATTATTGATGATTGTATGAGCTTATAATAAGAAATCTGTTGGGCAGGATAAGAAGATGACGAGAGCAGAGTTTGTGAGGAAACTGCGGGTCATTGTAGGAGATGATCTGCTAAGGTCCACCATAACAACGCTTCAAAACCAGGTAAGATAGTAGTAGAGATATTGTTAAATCATAAGTTTACGTGTGTAAACAAAAATGCTCAACAAAGGTTTTTTTTTTGTTTGACTTCAGCCAAAGTCGAAGAAGGAGATTCCAGGAAGCATCAGAGACCATGAAGAAGGTGCAGGTGGGTTGTAAGTAAAGAAGGATGATGATGATGACGAATATCAAAAGGAAGCTGCTTTCTATCTATCTACCCGCCTTTGTGGTTCTCCTTTTGACTTTTTCTAATTATAGACTTTTGGTTTTGGGTCGGGTCGTTGGTAGAGTTTAAATGTGTCGACTTTTCTTTCTGTCGTGAAAAATCGTACTATATTATATGATTCTACTTAGTCAATGATGTCGTTGGGTCTTTGTCTTTTTAGCTGCAAAACATTGTTGTGGAAGTCTTTGAATCTTGACGAAAATTTGGTCGTTGAGTCTATCGCGTGAAACTTCTCTTCACTACACTTTTTCTTATTATTCTATTAGCTTTATTCTATGCCGCTCATTTGTGTGAGATTGAGAATACTAAATGGAAAATTTTACTTGTAGACGAAAGAATCATGTAAAATTGGGGATCATGGCACAACTGTGTAAAACTTCGTCACTTAAGTATGATAACTGGTCACACCGCTGGGTTCCTTTGCCACTTGTGTCCTACGGGCCAATCAAGACTCGCAAGAAACTTTTGTTGGTCCTCTCTCCTCCCCTTTAGAGCTCTTTATGATGCGCACTGAGTAAGCTTGGCTTCTGTCGATGAAAAGCTAGCGGATATCTCCATATTGTAGGTCCAATCAGTTCGATACTATGGAGTTTCTGTGGAGTAGAGTAAACGGCCAGTATGGTATCTCTTTCTCTCTATAATAGCGACCTGGAATCTGATCCGTGTTGTTCACCCAAAAGTACAATGGTTCTGACTGCTTTCTTTTCATGGTTATGATCTGAGGTTTTGTGTTGTGTAGTCGGCATTTAGCTATAATCGAATTTGCAACCGAGGAATTGATGATGAGCCTAACTCTTGCATACTTCGAGGGCTTTGGAGGATTGGAAATTTGGATCCATGCAGCTTTCACTGTGACTTCATACTGAAACAATGACAGCTCACCGTTTCAAGATTCGGGGATCTCATCGGCAACCTCATCTACCTTTAATGAGCTTATTCATTGTCTGGCCCCAAAACTCTGTAAGCTAGTGACCCAAGTAATCCTCTATGATTTATGGAGAGATTGTGAATCAGAGACTCCATGAAGATCCGGTGGATACTCGTGTTTTCTATCGACTCATGAAAAGTATTGATCTAATGAATTTTTCCCGATTTGGCTTTAAATAAATCACCATTCTTATCTACTACATGAAACTATTCAAAGTTCTGTGTAATTGGTAAAACGATAAGTTTGCTTAGTTAAACCTCCTTATATTATTGCGTAAAATAACCATTTGGTTTAATGCAATTTCACATAATTACAAATAAAAAGAGATTATGTAGAACATGAGTATCTATAGTGGTATTTTGTAGTATTCTAGGAAATGTTAAATTGATACATATCAGTTTGAAACCTTTTACGTTAGACAAGGATATGGAATATGTTTGTTAAGAATATCTACAATTAAACTAGAAGTGATAATATTGTAAAACAGTGCCAAAAAGGTAATTAAGCTTCACGACCCGGCGGTCTCCGTAATAGAAGAGACATTTGTCGATAAGCTTGTGCTTTGTGCATCGTGAAACCTGTGGCAATAGAGCTACAAATGTACGTATCTTTCTTTTACAATAACATTCTCCAACTTGTATATTTTTTTAATTTTAAATGGATTTCGTGATTTGATATATATATATATCTTGTTATTAAAGGTTCCATAATGACTTTGGTTTATCAAAAAGAAAAAATATTCCATAATACTAACTAACAAAAATGTATTTCGTTGATTTATCGCAGTGGCCTCATTTTTATGACGAGACCGAGTGTTTTTTTTAAAAATTAATTTTAACATCAATTATTTACAAGTTCTAAAAAGTTTTAACATCATTTATAGCTATATTTATACCATTACCCACTTACTAGTTATTTATTTAATCCAGCTTAAGAAATCCTCGGCCGATTTGCATTAATATTTGGTACAGATACATAGTACTATATACATACTTGGTTAGTTGATAGTAATCCTATACTATTATTTGGGGAGTACATTTTATAAGATACCCTTAACTAACCTTCCCTTTTGTAAAAATTTACTTAAGAATGCCATTAGAGATAAAATTTCAAAGAGTAAATTAATTCATCTCATTAAGGATAAACAAGTCAATTTATACAATTTAATTAATTTAATTTAATTATAAAAACGAAAAATACATTATTATTATTATTTTTAAATGACCAATCAAAATAAATATACAAGATTTGATATCTAACTTACCTTATTAATTGTTATTAATCATTATATTTCACCTCTCATTTTTATATGATTCTATTATTGCGAAACAAATAAATTATCATATCATCCATATAATAATAAAAATAGATTTTGTTTTTCCGCATATGCCATGATTTGAATTTTTAAAAACGAATATAAATTATTCAATTTATGAAAAAAAAATTTTATCGAGTCAAAAATTTAGACTTGGATAATATATTTCTTTTCAACAAAAAAAAATTCACAAAAATTCCGCCTCAATAACGGGTCAGAATTTGAGTAATTATATTCAATTTCATATTTTTAAAAAATATATATTTTTATATACTACGATAAAATTTTAAATATTTTAATTTGGAATATTTGAAAATAGTTTTACTTGATATTTAAAAACAAATATCATCAATACTTAATAAATAAAAAAATAAAAAATTATACATACACTAATTTGGTTTTCTTAAAACAAATATATTTAAAAAATATTTATAATAGACGGTGGGTTAAATATAATGTTTTATATGATGGAATGAGTTATTCCTTATAACTATTTGAATATTTATATTTTAAGTTCATACAATTATTTTTAAAAAAAATCTTAATTTTAAAGATAGTTTAATATAATATTTAAAAATAAATATTTTAAAGAATAGTTTAATAATAGTTTAATAATAGTTTAAGGAAAAATTTAAAAATAGTTTAATATAATATTTTAAAGAATATCATAAATATTTAATAAATCAAAAGATAAAAGTTATAAATATTCTAATTTCATTTTTCAAAGCATAAATATTTAAAATATTTATAGCAAGCAACAAGTTAAATGTAATGTATTATATGATAAAAAGAGTTATGATCTTTATAACCGAAATCATGTTAAGATTATATGATGAGATGAGTTAAATAAGGTTTGACACCTCTAAATATTTAAAATTTTGATTCTATAACTATATATGAAAATAATGAATGATGGATTGTGCATACAATTTTTTCATTGGGATTCTAAAATAAAAATATAGGTACGCACGGGTTGAATTTAATCTTATTATATACCAAAATATGTTTATTATATACACAATTTTTTTTCACTTACTACTAGCTTATATCAAATACATACGTTTTATTTTTAACCAAAAAAACGTAAAAAACCGTAAAAATCGAACTGTAACTAAACCGAATTACATACGGTTTCTATATGCTTTCACTTTCTACAAAACGAAAAAAACGATACTAAACCGAAAAACCGTACTCCACCCCTAATATTTTCTCATCAAACAAAATAAAATAAAATAAAAAAATCCTTATATGTCATTGTATTATGTAAAGAATTATTAAAATTGTACTATAAAACAAACAATAATCCAACTTTATATAAATTTTTAAAAATTAAAATTTCATCCGTGCTGTTCCAGCACGGGTTATGATCTAGTACATCCTTGTATAGTAATTATTTTTATTTATACTTGTACTAGTAACTATTATTACAGAAAATTGTATTTGTAAACTACCACTGTATCAATACATGTAATGATTACCTAAAACTAAAATCATATTAAAGAAAACAAGTTAACAAAAATAAACAAATAATAATCAAAACATAAGCAAAATATAAGCAATATAAGAGACGAATGATAAAAAGATAAATTGTACGTTAAAATTTGAGATACTAAAACAAAAATATGATTATTAAATATGAATTCAATTAACTAATAAAATGTAACAAGACAAAACTATTTCATAAACAAATTAATTGTAAAACAATGGTTGTATTCCAATACTGCCAAATTGAGGCACGAAAACCGAATGGGAAGATATAACAACATTTTAACGGTTCTTTTTTCAATCTTGTGATGACAAGAGTAAGAAAAAAGAGACTTCGGTCCACGAATAACATTTAAAAACAAGTTTGAAGCTCGCTCCGATCAAAGGAACCGTAAAGATATATATTTCTAGACGTCAATGAAGTGTGTTCTCATTGCAATGTTGTTATAGGTACCTCATTGATCCGGTGTATTGGGTTCCATGGGATAGTGTGACTTTGGACGTTTGTCCACATTATATTATGATGAATATAAAAACAAAAGCACATGAACTGATACAAGCAAAAGAGTGAAGTGGAAGTGAATTTCACGGCTCCGAAGAAAGCGGCGAATTTCACAATAGAAAAAACATATAAATAGAGATTCGTGTCTTGATTCCACCGGAGTTCCTTACGTGTCTTGATTTCACCGGAGTTCCTTACTACGAAGGTCTTTGATTATATTGTGAACAATATATTAACATATAACATAAGATATTTTAAATATGTTATTTACGGATTCTTAAACAAAATATATTTGTTTGCTTCACAATAAAAAAATTTCCACCATTGAAGCCTCCGATACAAAGTTTAGTCTTCCATGAGAGTCTCCCATCTCTAATTCGTTTGTAAAATTTAGTAGATGGTGAATATCATTCTCTTGTCGAATGAACAAATACAGATTCTTCAAAACCCATACAATCACATGTTATGGTAGAGTTTAAACAAATTCGGCCTTGAGGTTTAAGATGTTACAACATTCCATAAACTCAATTTGGGCCTTGACTTTAAGATACTACAAACACATTACATCAGACAACATCTACGATAAAGTTAAACCCAAATTATAAAGAGCAAAATCGGAAAGACTATGTTCTGACTACATTTCGTATAGTTAACATGTCTTCAACACTCCCCTCAAGTTGGAACATATATGTAGATTGCAAATGCATAACATGTCCAATACAAGTTGAAACTAAGCACTGTCTTTTTTATTTATGGGCCTATGATTGGGCCTGGTAATGGGCTTGAAAATTTATGAATGGTTTTTTTATGTTTTGTTAGCCATCAAAAATATTTCTAAAAACCAATCGAGAAGACAAAAACATGATAAAATTGAATTGACAATTCGTTTTGTTTGTTTCCAACAAATTGACAATTCTTATGTATGAATTTAGGAATTTTTGTCATTGTAAAAAAATGGAGAAAAAAAAGGAAGAAAGTGATACAGTGACAGGACTGTGAAAGAGGGCACAATAAATGACAAACCGATTGGGAGGGAGTTTTGTCGTTGATTGGTCCCCACTGGTACTCGTGACAGTAATTTCGTTTTTTTGACCTCTTTGATTTGGGTCCTACCTCCTTCCTCTTGACACGTCACTTCTTCCGCCACCGTCTGACATTTTCCCCAACACCTCTCTCTCTTTTTTTCTGGTCCTTTTGACTCTTTTTCCAAGTTTTTTTTCTCTATTATTACTCAGATTATTTTCGTTTTATTGTTTCTTAAATCTTAGAGACTACATTTCTATGTTTATACCATAAGATTCATAACCATATAGTTTTTTTTTTTTTTTAGAGTAAGAAACTGAACATTCTTAACCATCAAGGTAGCTGATTTTATCACATAATTTTTCAAAATCTAATCATTTATGTAATAGGGTTCAAAGGAATATAAAAAAGATATAGTACTTTGGTAGGTTTTGTGTCTTCATTGAATATGGTGTTATATATTTATATTCTTCCATCAAATTGTAATATATTTCTCTAATCGGTTAAATAGACTATAGTGGATTTAATACACGAGACAAGTTTTTTTTCTTTGTATATTAAATTTAATTTGGATGTAGAAATCTGAGAAAAGATATAAGTAAGAGAATGTATATGTATGCTTTAACAAAAATATATATATATATATATCTGTAATGTATAATGTATTTATATGAGAGTATATTTTTGTGTTTTTGTACGTATGTAATTTGTCTGTTTATTTATTACGGAAGGGAGAGAAAGAGGGAGGCGTTGGTTCCCGCGAGAATTTCGCCTTATTATCCGTTGTCCTCTTAGAGAATAATTTATTTTTGTTATATTTGTCTTCTCCACTTTCTGCATTATTCTTTTCTTTTTCTCTTGTTTTTTTCTTTATACAAATTTCTACAGAAATTTTCATCACATTAATTAAACAAGGTCTCTATGTCAAATATTAGAAAATTGATTGACATTTACTGAATTATTTATTAATATTCATCAAAATTATATCCCTACATATATAGCCTATAGTTTCATGAAATCTTTTCTCACATTGACGTTTGAATTAACGTTGATAGGACCCACTATACAGCTTCTTCCCATGCAAAAAGCTCCTCGAGCTACTCAATTAAACACTGCAAACTTCATGAAAATAGTCTCTTCCTTTGCTCTTTAATTTTCACTTTGAGGTTAAAAGTTTGTTTTTACATTTAATTTCATTATTCCTACCTTCTTCAGTTCTTCTACCATATAGCATAAGATTATACATGTGTTGAAAATAGAAATAATCATATTGTTCGTGGACGAAGTGTTCAGAAATTCAAAATGCAAACTCATAGTCTAATGGGTTCTTTAATTTTTCAAAATGCTCACATTTTATTAAAAACTTTCTTGTTTTTGTACTTTTTGGAATTACAGGCTATATATTGAAAAGAAAATAGAAAGGAATAAGAAAGAGATGTCTCTTGAAGGTGAAAACAAGGAGGGTCAACTTTACTGGTCACTTTCTTGTTTATCAGTATAACATCTTTGCAACATTTGGCAATATCGGATCTGACGGCTGGCAGAGCAGCAGAGACCCAACAATCAAACCGTTGAGATTACGACACGTGGATGAAAGAATTTGTACGAAAGATCCAAAGTTGAAATGATAATGTAATGATGGTTTAATAATTTATACTTTTGACATTCTGTGGACTTCGTGCTCTTCTGTTCTGTTCGTACGACAGTAAATAATATCGACCAGTGTTTCAGTCTTTGCCTCAAACGCAGAGAAGAAAGAGAGAGAGTGACAGAAGCAAGCTCAAAATAAAATTATTTATATATGAAAATATTTTATAATTTTGGTGGATGAATATGAATGGCTTTTTAACAAAAAAAACAAATAGCTCATGTAAATATTACTTACATGTCAAGGGAAAAACAGTTTACTTACATGTACATAAATCCTACTAGTCATTGAGTTGATCTCTACCTAGTAAAGGGAGATGATTTCGATTATTAGCAACAATGCTACTAGTCATTGAGTTTCTAAATATAATTGCAAACTTTCTTTTTTTGACTCAAAAGTATAATTTCAAACTTCTGTAGTACACCTTTATTTTGAATTTGTGTGATTAAAGTAATAATAATTTAAGAGGAAAGTCAATAAATTTTGGGTAGCCCAATGAGAAAGGACAGATGAAAGACTTTTAGCTAGGGAGAGAGAGAGTAATAAGACCGATTGTTCTCTTTTTCCCATAATTCTCCTTCTGATTCTTATGGATCTACTAACTTGTGCCATCCCTCTTTATCTCATTCATATATATATACACACACATATAATCATAAGATCATTCATCATCATAGCACCAAGAACTTTGAACTTTTATATATACATGTAAAAGAAACTACTAATGAAAGTTTGTGTTGATTATAAGATTCGCTAAATTTTAGATTAATTTTAGAATCTAAATCTGTTTGATTTACATTGCAGCTTATAAATACAGTATAAATTTTTGTTTGCAAAATACAGTATGTGATAGCATTTAATAGTTTTGAGGAGTGGGTGGGTGTATGTTGCAATTATTGGTGAATGATTACTACCTTTTGCATGCCTTTTATATTCTGTTTTGCTTTCGAAACTTGAAAACAATAATAATAATTTTTAAAATATATATGTTTGGGATGTTTCACGTTGCACGTGACATGACAATGACACAAGGCCGTGTTTCGATTGTCAAATGCGACTACCCATACCAATGTGAAGACAACCACACTTTCAATTGTCAAATTCTTAGATTTTTCTTAAAGAATTTGGATGATTTTGATATTTGGAAGACTTCTACAATATGTTTTGATTATCGGTTCTATATTACAACAAACTACAGCATTTGTGGCCACAATGAAATTGGATAAGTTTTCCAAATATTATTTGGTTTATGAATAGTTCGTAGATAATTTATCGGGTACATATTGGTTGCCTAATGATAGATAAATGTTACATAGAAATTTATCGGGTGCCAAAAACATTTTCCGCCAAATTCATTTAGATAAAAGCTAAATTTTGTTGAATTCTACTAAATTCAACAATTCTAACAATACTAACTGATACGTAGATACATATACATGTTAATTCTATATATGTAAATGATCATATAATATATAATTAGTAAATGATGCGTGCATAAAGTTAAAGATATTAAAGTAATCAAAAATTACATTTGAAATGTATTTTTTTTATAGATCGGATATTACATATATGATGTAGATAGTTATGATAGAAAATCACTACATAAACGTGTTACCGTTAGATGCATATTAGAGTATTTTAGATAACTGCAAAAAAGTTTGAATAATTTATAAATTTTGTTTGGTGTGATACATTTTTGATAATTTTGGTTGTTTTAAGAACTTATGTAATTGTTTCGACTAAAATCATATATAAAACATATGGAAAATGTATCACACCAAACAAAATTTATAAATAGTAGTTTTGAGTAATGCTATTGATTATCTAATTGCAAATGTATAATTATTATGGGATTATGATTAGTACTATATCTTATCGGTTATTTTACTGTAACTGAATCATTTGATCAATCTCATGATCATAATTAACTCTATACCTTCTGTAGTTAATATAAGCCTAACTTAGTTTCATTAGATCACTTAGTCTTTTCATGATCACTAGCTTACTCTGATGTGCCATCAACACATCCATCCTCACTTGGCCAAGTTTCCAAAACCTTTCTTTGATGATTTGTTCTCCGATCATCTATGTGATATAAACTAAGTCGTTTGATCTATCATTCAGATTTCTCTTAGTTTGAAATTCGATTCAATTATTTTTTAATATCTTTTCTCAGTCTATTCGATTAGCCAGAACTTGTTTAAACAAATTAACTCATAACTCGATCATTCTTTGAACATGACTCAGGTGTCCTAACCAAACCAACCTGATATCTTTATTGCATGATACAATTGTTAAACATTTTCGGTCTAGCAGTATGAAAAACAAAAACTTTTCATTTAATTTTGTTTAAAAGTGCTTTATACTTCTTTTCCTAAGACAAGAAACACTCTTTATACTTTGTAAATAGTATTTTCTAATAAATTTATATAAACCAAAATAATATTATCATCTAAATAATCTAGACTTAAGTTAGTCATAATGTTTTCGAATATATCCGTGAGTTAGAAAAATATAAAGTAGGCACAAATTATCATTATTTTTAGTTTTGTTTGAATTTAATTATGGAATTTATTTTTCCAGTATCAGTATTCGCATTGAAATTACATATTACACAAAGCAAACTTTATTTAGATGATGAAAATTTTGAACACAAACGTCATCTACCGTCATATCAACTCCATCAACAAATCATTTTAGCAGTTATTTTATCTCTATTTACTCAGCTAGGTGTTGGTCATTTTGACTGTTGCATATGGATGGCAATCGTCATGCTTAATATAATTATGTGTGCTTGAAGAAGACAAAATGCTTAATATAATTATGTGTGCTTGAGGAAGACAAAATGCTGAGAATAGAGTCTTGACGACTAAGGAAACATCAAACCTAAGTGAAAATGAACTAAATATTCTTTGGTGGGAATCTACCTTATACATTTGAATTATTCTATTTTTCTCTTTTATGTCTTTTACTTTTTAGTTTGTTCCCTGTGATATATTCAATGAACTTTAGTGATACGTCGTCCATATTTATTTCAAGAACAAGTCCCAAAATTAATACTTTGGACCTAAGAACATATACGAGATATTTTTTTCTTTTTACGAGAATAAAGAGATATTCTTTGCTTTATTGTATAAGTTAATTATCTTTTCGAAAAGCTTATGGTGATAGACAGTTCATATGCTTTATACCCACTCTAAAACCTTAAGGCCAATCATAAAGGTAATCATTAATCATATATTAACCAGCATTCACGTCCATTTATTTTTCTTAACAAAACAAATTAATATTTATTTTTTTGTATAAAAAATATAGATATTCTTCTTACAACTTTACCCATTTCCTTTAATATGTTTGCTTTCTTTCATTCATGTCCTCTTTTGTCCTTCTTTTACACCTTTTTCTCTCTTTTTTTCCTTCTGCTTTTTCTCTTTTATGTCTTTCTTTTTTCTTTATTTATATATCGACATCTTTATTTATTATCGGATTGTAAAATAAAAGTTCAACCAAAGAAACAGAACATTTATTGTGCCTCTAGTAGTTGATTCTTTCACTAGCTCTTCACAATAGAGAAGGAAAAAGAACAGTGTTTGTCAACCTTCCGAGAGGACACTGAGAAGCTTTAAAAAAAAAAACACTTATTCAATTGATATGAATATCGAAACTAGTCATTAGCCAAAATATAAGTTAATTGATACTAATTAATTACTAGCTAGCTATAACAATAAATTTAGTGAGATCGACCCAGAGTAAACTCAAGATTTGGCTTGAATGGGCTTGTTCCCGAGATGCTTGATGAGCTCATCTCTTCTGAGGATATTCTCTCATAACTTGAGCACTTTCCATCTAGTTCCTTCTGTCGAAATTAAAACCCCCAAAAAGGAATCATTAATCAACTAGCTAAATTTTCAGTTGTGTAAATGGTTTGCATTTTTATATATACACATGTCTATGATCAGCATGTGAATGTAAATAATTGATCAATGGTTTATGTCTCGATTAATAAAATATAAAGTGCAGAAACTCATGCAACACTAAGTAAAAGTGATCTCAACATTTAACTAGGTTTAAGGTTAATATTGTATCATTCATAATTAAGACATTAGTTCTTATTAGATCTAAGCTTACCCTATTTATTGTCCTAAGGACTAATGTTTGACATTGACAAAAATATATACATATTATATTTCTTATTGTTCAATGGAAGCTGCCATGGTTTTGCTTTTGCCCATATTTGCATATAAGCCAACTTAGATAACCGCACCTCAAGGCTTAAGCTTTCACAAGTCACAATATATGCGTGTCAAAGGTCAAAACAAAAACTCATCATGGTCAATGTCAATGGGGTTAGGTTTTCTTTATTTTTCCTAATAAATGTCTAAATAACGAAAATACCCTTTGCTTTTGAAAATTCCTAAAGCAAACTTTAATGAAAGCCCTTTTTGTGGCACCCCTTTTTAGGTTTTCGGGTGACTTAGCAATGAAAAGAAATCGACAATGCATAATTTAAATTGATTTCAATGTATATACTACACACACATATTCGCATATACATAGTTATATTTGCAGAAAGAGATGTATCGTACCTCAGAAGGTAGCATAATTTCTGCAACATTATCGATTAGCTTCCCATGCAAACGTGCTTCTCTGCAAAAGCCAACAAAAGTTTGTTATATGAGAGAGATATATATGATATTCGCTTTATAGAATTGAATAAATGAAAAGAAAATAATCAATGAAATAAACAAAAAGAGGAAGAAAGTGAAAAGGAAGATAAGAAATTACAAGACGAAAGAAAACAAAGCGTTTTCCTTTTGGTAATAACAAAGTTGTTTTTATCTCTGTCGACTGGCATGGCTGTTTGTTTAACGTAAGCAAAATTTAGAACGATGTAATATTATATTCTGACATATATTTTACTTTATTTTAGTATAAAGTTGAGAAATCAATCTTTTCCTCCTACCCATGTGTTTGCCCATTTGTTCATGTGTTAACCATTCTAAAAGAGCTTTAATTTACCTAAATATTTCGAATTAATTAGAAGAAATATTTGTTAAATTCCTTTGAAATGGTACATGTAAGGATGATTTTTTTGGTTTTGTAATTATTATATTCTTAGAAAATAAAACGCACTAGATTTTGTATATATATATATAGACACACATCAAATTTATGCACACAAATTTTACGTTAGACTATGATTTTCATGAGTTTCTTCTACTAGTTCGCCATATTCATAATATAGTAATATAATTTTGCTAAGTAGTCTGAAAAAACCTAAGGAAATTAAAGACCATTCATTATAATTAAATATACACTCCCATCAGATTCATATATATATATATATATATATATATATATGTATGTATGTAAGTATTTTTGTGGTGAATGTCATATATGTGTGTTCTTGTGACTGTAGAGAGAGAGACCAACACATGATGATTAACCCATCATGTGTTTTGTCTCAACTCCGATCCATTGGGTTTGTGGGTGAGAAAGAGACAAAACAGGACTACAAAGCAGAAATATAAACCTAACCCAATTCTTAACTACACTTATATAGATATAGAAGCATGCACATGCTTGAGCGAGATTCCACATTACATATAGTTATATATAGTAGCGATGGAATAATCACCTATATCTAGGCATGCATGTGTAGATAGACCGTACTTTATGTACGTACCCGGAAGAATTGGTCCATAGACCATTTGATTTCTCAAGAGGATTCGTCAATTCCTCGCTATCTCTAGATTTTCGATTCATATCGAACATCCAATCGTCTGAGTTATTATCTCCTGAAGATCCATTTTCATAGACATCAGATTGTCCTAAATAACATTAAGAAAAGATAAAAATTAGGGCTTTTATCAGAATCACATTTCAATTATTAAATCAAATATATCCAATAATTTCAGCCCAAAAGAATCTGAATTATTTCTCTAACACTAACCTGACGAAGCTGCTGCTTTGTCGGTTGTCTTCACTGTTCTGTACATCTGATATTATTAAAAAAAATGCATCAAAAATATAATTAAGAAAACTCATGAACCATATTATTTCGACTAATAAGTCAAAAAGCAAAACTCTTAATTATAATTCGTATATACTATAGATGCATGTATCGAATTATATGGCAAAGGAAGAAGAGACCAAAGTAAGGAGACCAATGTACTGTTGTCTTCCGACACAGTTGAATAGTACCAACCAATTTTCAAAATAAGAAACACATATATGCACATACAATTATATTCTATATATATATGCACATACAATTATATTATATATATATATATGCACAGACACATTGGAAGATAAAAAAAAAGAGAGAAAAATATAAAACTGTTCGGACACAGAAGCATTAATTGACATTATTAATGAAGTTTGCGATTTTCATGTACCGATGCATGAATTTATGTGTATAACCATGGTTAAAATATAACCCATTAAACATATGGAGAAGTGGAACCATGGTTAAGTTAAAGAAACCTTCTCTCTCTCTCTCACTGTGACTGTGTGTAAGACCAAAACCATTTCATCATTGAGAAATGATGGTGTTTCTTCTTGTACTCTCCCTTTCTGTCTATATTTATTATTATTAAAAAATATTCCTACCGATATATTCATTTAATTAAGATCGAAATCATCCCTAATTAGAATTAGTCCTAAGATTTTGGCTCTTATAGGCACAAAATATCTACATATACCTTACAGAATATATAACCAAGTAATACTTGATTCTAATAAATTATAAAAATAGAAAACCATATGATTATGTAGAAAGAAAGTCTAAATTTTGGTGTATAACCCAAGAAAAAATGGATGATAAGAAACCAAAGGTACTAATGTTTTTCTTGATTCTCTTTAGGAGATTTTTTTCTTATAATTAGCACAATCACTGACGTAATTTCCCCATCTCTCTATTTCTCTCTCTAACTTTCTATTCTATGTGTGTCAGTAATAGTAATATTGAGTAATTTTTGGTTTACTTGTAACAGGACAAGTTTATTCTTCCAAGACGAAATTTTTTTTAGACTTGCAAAAAGAAGACTGTCTATCATCTACAAAGACCATATATCAGATCTAGCACGAAGAAACGAAGAAGAGGTTTTTGAAAAATAAAATTATTTTTTATATAAAATATGTAAGGAATGTTTATATACATTTTTCTTTTGTCTTAACTCAACCAAGGGTTGCATTATTGGTGTGGCAAAATTGGATTTAATTAAGATAAGAATAAAAAAGGAAGGATCAGAAGAAAACAAGATTCGATCTCTTCTGACTCCAGTGGAACTCTGATTTAAGGAAGTCACCGAGTCAAATACATCGATACCCGAGAAGTTTATTACTATTAACTAATTATATACTTATATAAATTTATCTTCTTTCTTCCATCTAATTATATACTTATATGGATGAATTTATTACTATACTTATAATCAATTTACCTGTAAATGGGACTTAACATGAGCCAAGGTTAGATCTTTGACATCCATGAGCTCAAGAACTGATTTGGGTGTTGCTCCTAATTAGCAAGTAAATAAAACAAAACATTTTTTATTTATTAAAAAGGGTAATTAAGAAATGGAAAAAAGAGATAAGCTTTGAGCTAAAAGGAACATACTTTCATGGCCACCGAGTAATTCAACGGCGTGAACGAACCGGGCATGAAGAGTGGTGGTCCATCGCATCCTAGGAGCTCTCATGCTTCGCTTAGCTGGGAATCTTGGCATGAATCTTGCTCTGTTTAGAGTCTGGTGATGATGATTGTGGTAATTAGGGTTACTAACACTACTTGTATTAAAGCTATTGTTGTTTCCGGTAAGAGCCGGTGAAGAAGAGGAGGAAGAGGGAATTAGAGACGACGGATCGAAAGGGAAACACGGTGGTGGCGGACGGTGATGATGATGATGATGTGGAGGAGGGTTGTGGTAAAGAGGGATTCCTCTTATTGGTCTTAAGTGAGTATTAAGGTCATGAGCAAGAAACCCTTGTAAGTGTTGTTGTTGCTGTTGTGTCGGAAATTGGAAAGAGGTCAAGATGTTAGAGCCGTTGCAATTAGGGAGAAGCTGAGGATGATGATGATGATGTTGTTGTTGTTGTTGTTGGTGATGAGAGTTGTTAGAGAGCGAGAGGTCTTGAAATGGATGATTGATTGTTTTTGAGCTGGAATTAGAGACGAGAGAAGATGTTCTTGAATCAAGAGCTCTTCTCCAAAACCCTAAATCGAGTTCTTCATGATCTTCTTGATCTGTTGTTGATCTTCTTCTCTGCCATGTTGATGATGGTTTGCTGTTCGGTGGACTTATCTGTAAGGATAAATCGGGCTGAGCAGGAAACAGCTCCATGAAAGAGACCTTTAACTTCTTCTTCTTCTTCTTCTTGAAGAGATTCTTCAGTCGGTTTCCAGAGATGATGAACCCTAGTTCTTGTTTTTCTTTGGGTTAGGACAAAGAAGATAAAAAGAGAGATATCCTTTTTTTATTGTGGGTAGGGAGGAAAAAAGAAAAGGGTATTGAGGATTTCAGGAAGAGATTTCTGGTTTTGTTGAGAATGTTGTTTATATTGTTTGAGGTTAAGCAGATTTTGCAAAGATTTTTGAGAGATATAGAGAGAGAAAATCAATGACAAGGTAGTATGTAGTGAATGGTTGTTTCTTTTGTGTGAAGTATATGTGAGAAAATGACACTTGAGTGTGTATGAGAGAGAGGAGAGAGAAGGTATTTGTGTGGACATGGGGGGCTAGAGGAACTTAGGTTAAGAAAGGGGGAAGAAAAGCAAAGGGATAAAGAAAATGAAAAGAGAAAAGAGAAAGAAATTAAAAAAAACAAAAGTGGTAAATGGTAAATAAGGCTTTCTTTTTTCTTTCTTTCTTTGCACTCTTTTGTTTTCTTTGGAGGAGAAAAGTAAATCCTTTATTTGTGTTTTTAAACCATTTTTATTGTTCTTTTCTTAGTCTACATTCCACCTTTTATTTTATCTTTCCACTCCTTTTTTTTTTGTTTCTTCCCTATAATCAATAAATATGAATAAATGGAATTTTCAAAATATATTGGCCTCATAATTAAATTGAGGCTAGGTACTTACTTCTATATGGTTTTTTTTTTAATTATTTTGTTCTAATCATTTCTTCAGCGATGGCCGTAAGAAGTTTGTCAAATTAGTGACTTACGCAATTCTAAGAAAATAGAAAATGTTCATTTTGGAATAAAGTGAGTTCATATGAAAAATTCCTTCGAATGTCTTTTTCTAAACATAAATTAACTAAAAATATTCATCACATGAAGAAGAATAGCTAGAAAGGTGAAAACTTTGGAATGGTTTATCTTTAGCATCCCACACGCTCTCTATCCTTTGCTTTTAACTGAAACCCAAGGTTGATTTCTCCTTTTTATAAACCCTATATTCATTCCAAAAAGAAGAATAAAATTTTAATAAAAAAGGTTAAATCACAAATATTAAAAAGGAAGAACAAAGAAAAAGATGAAAAGAGAGAGTGAGAAAAAGGAAAAAAAGAGGAACAAAACAAAGTTTGCTTATTTTAGCTTGTATGACTCTCTTTCACATGATTATCACTTTTCTCTTCTCCCTATGTTTTTTCCTTGAATTATACCTTAATGATTAAAAACCCTTATCACATGTTTTTTGAATAATCTGTTTTCTCAGAGTGATGTTCAAATCAAGTCCAACATAAACACTGCAACTGCTATAGTGAATATCACAATGAACGATAGTGACCAATATGAATTACTCGAGTATAATTAATAACTGATTCCAAACTCTCATATATAAATATATATATATATATATATATATATATATATATATATATATATATTTATATAGCAAATATCATGTATTTGTTTGAGATGTGCAAACATGTATTATGCAGGTTTATATTATTTACGTCACCACGTTATAATTCAAATTTAAATTTGATAATATGCATGCAAAATTTTTGTTTGTTTGGTGTCACTTTTGAAGAAATGCATGCAAAACAATGAAACTATATGCAAATTCAGTTTACATTCGAAACTTAAAACTAATTGGTAGAAATTATTTTCATGTTAATAAAACCAAATTTAATAGCATGTCATAGAAGAAGAGAAGGATTGAAACCTTCCCATTACAGCCAGAGCCAGCTCGAGTCAATAAAGTTGGGGATAAAATAGTAATTTACAATGTCGGATTTACAATGCGAACAATTGCTGTGCTTTGTCAAAAGGACAATCAAAATATTTAAAGAAAAAAGCCCAAACCCAATCAAATGCCTAATTTTAAACATATAATTAGCTATATTGATTTACAAAAAGTAAGAAAAACCAATAATCACATCACTCACTACATGGAATAAAAGAGAAGGTTCATTGAATAACAAAATTTGAATGCTTCAATATTTGATTGACTCTAAAATCTTGGGGAAAAATGATTTGAAGGATAACTGCAAATTAATTATTATTATTATTATTTTTTTGTTATCCGAAATTAATTAGAGCTCAAAAGAGCCATTGAGAAATGTTGTTTACCAAATTAATTACGAGAGATTAAAATAAGAGATGTGTTCCATTTAAACCAAATATACAATCATCGTGACATAATGGTTAGTAGTGCCGATGACTTAGGCATAGAGATCGGCAAGATACCTCCATAGGGAATAGAAATCTCCATAAGAAAACGACATTTGATCTTAATTTTCTTGAAATTCACAAAGATGTTTCTGTAGCTGATTTTCATTTTGATTAATCAAAGCTATATTACTATAACCATTCTTAATGACAAATTATTAAACTATTACTATTAGATTCTTGAGTTTTCGTAGGGTTTCCCAACAAACCCAAAAACCGGTGTACTTAATATCGAACCATGTTTATTTTATTGGAACAATGTTTAAATGAACTTTAGAGAGACAGAAACCATGTTTAAAAGTATTGATCCATTTGAAAATTTTTGGAATCAAATTCATTTTTTTAAAAGTTATGTCGCGAGCTTTATCAAAGAAAAAGAAGAAGATTATATATCTGGACTGAAAATATTTATGTAAATAATGTTAAAATAATATAGCAAGCTTTTACTTACAAAATCGTAAGGTTACTATTATGTGAAAGCAAACAGAGATTAGACAAAAAGAGTTAATTAAATAGAATGTCCAACTCTCACAACATTAAATGTGGCAGAACCTCCCTCACTTTTAAAAATATGAAACATTAATGGTAGCAGCAACCATTACGGAGCATCAAATTCTTACAAATATAATACTTAAACTTTAGTGTATGTGAAATTGTGAAAACGTATCTAAGTATATAGAGTCGTATTACATAAATAGAGGTAGTTAGGTACGGATTTGGCTATTGAATGGTCAATGCGGCAATTAGAACTACGGTCTAATAAAACACACACCTGCTTCGAGGATATATGTATATAACTAATATTTGTGTTTTCTCTAGAAACGAAAAGAAAATGTAAATGACTTATATATATATATATATATATATATATATATATATATATGTAATGCATAAAACTAGTATTAAATGTAAATTAATAATATAAAAATACATAAAGCTAATATTAATGTATCTAAAAACAAAAATTAGAGTCCAAAATTATCATATTTAAGATAATAAAATTATTATAGTTGAAGACAAATTTTTTTTAATGAAGTTGATATACATTGTGGCCCTTGTATGATGTTAAATATTAAAAAAGTAGAATATATATATGTGTGTATGTACAGATAATTAAAAAAAAATATAAAACAAATTTACAAAATATACACAAGAAAAAAAAAATTATAGGGGATCCAGATATCAATTCAACTGCAATAGGTATGTAAGCATCATGTCGAAATTTTTTATGCGATTAACAAAATATTAAGATGCATACGAACTTTAAATGGTGCTCTCAAACACCTTGACCCACAAAACATGGGTTTCGAGAAATACTATGGATGAATCACCTTTCTCAACAACTATGGAAGACAAACCACAATCAATGTCATATAGAACTTACCATACATCAAATTATGTATGCATATTAGCTTTTAATTGATGTGTTAATCACCAATGCTCAACTCTTGACCCTCTTGGAGCTTCAATCATATTCTAAAGCAATCTGACCCCTTTCATTTACCTAGGAAATTAACTCACTCCATGGAGACAGAACAGAACCGTCTCTAACATCGAACATCCAAAATCACACTTTAATACTCTCTACCTGCTAGAAGACCTTCTTTCCATATTGTTTGATTTCTAGTTTTTTTTTTTTTTTTTTTTTTGAGACCTCATAAAGTTTCTCTTTGTAGTATTTTTCTCAGCACCTTTGAATTAATCCACAAAGTTTCTTTTGAATTTTAAAACTCTCTTAGTTCGGTCTTACACTATTGTGTGGTGATGCCCCTAGCTTAGAATATTATTATTAGGATTTGTAACAGACTCACAGTTATGTCAAGACTCAAGAAGTGTGGTGTCCTATATATCAACAAAGCACTCAAGTGAGATCCCTCTAGTCTATTTGAATGCTCACCAAATTATCTCTATCTGACAGCTTAAACATCAATCTGGTCTTTACATCAGAATTTGTTTGGTGCTTACATCGAGGGTTGTTATTGATGTATGAATGAACTCAAGGAATAATTTAATAAATAATTTTGATTCTAGTAAATTCTATGACAAGAGTTCCCGACGTGATAAGTGCTTCACATCGAAGGTTGAACACTTTAAAACTTACTGTGATGACAATTTACAATATCAAACACACCATTTTTGTAGGTAACCAACTAATGGTTGAAACCATTTTATCTCTTGGAAAAAAAAAAAACATTTTCTCTCGATTACAAGATAGAGAATCACTACAAGAATATGACGCATTTATAGCATAAGAATATAGCAATTAAGGCTGTTTTGCTATTATTGACAAACACCGTAATATGTTATAGCGTTTGGTAAATTTAAAACGCTATGCTTTATTACTCGGAGAAATAAAAGGACGCGGGTCAATGTTTTTAGAATTAGGTTTGATATTTGATAGCACTTTTTTTGATTAAACGCTATTGAATCTATTAGCGGTAAACGAATAATGCCCGCCTCTTGGGAAAATATTTTGTGGGAAAAAAACGAAATTTTGCCTAAGGCACTGACTTTAGACTCTTCACCTAAATTTCTTCATCTCTCTCGATTAGACTCTCTCTCGATTCTTCATCTCTCTCGATTCTTCATCTCGATTCTTCATCTCTCTCTGTAAATCTCTCTCTGTTCTCGACTCTCCATCTCTCTGTTACTCGGCTCTCCATCTCCATCTCTCTGTTACTCGACTCTCCATCTCCATCTATCTGTTACTCGACTCTCCGCCTTCTTTTCTCAGTTAATCGAGTCTCTATCTCTCTTCTCACTCGATTCTCCATCTCTCACTCACAGATCTGGTCGTACATTGAGGTTAGGGTTTTGAAAATCGATTTGGGGTTTTGTTTGTGAAATTATCATATTTGAGCTTCAATTTGGGGTTGTAATCGTTTTAGGGTTTTGTTTTAGGGTACTCAGAGTTGCAGAAGCTTTCAATAGCCGTTTCTAGAAGCTTTCGGTGAATCAACAGGTATGTAATTGAAGGTATTTCGATGTTTTGCATGTTATGTTTCCAGAAACTTGCTTGTGTGTTGGTTTCAATCTTGCATGTGTGAGTTAAGCAACTGTTTTTATCTGAGTTAGTGTTTCTCTTTGTCAGTTTCAAACTTGCATGTGTGTTGGTTTCGAATTGAGCAACTGTTTTGAATTGATTTAGTGTTTCTCTTTGTTATTTTCATACTGTTTTGTTAAAACTAAACTTGTTTCTCTTTGTTAGTCATGTTTCTCTTTGTCAGTCATGAAAATTGAGCTACTGTTTTGTCAAAACCAAACTTGTTTTCGAAATCAACATATATTATAAGAAACAAAGTATTTTGCTACTTTGTTCTTTGTATATATGCCACTATATTATAAGAAACAAAGTATTTTACTACTTTGTTCTTTGTTATGTATGTGTTTGCTCTTTGTTTCTGAGAAGTTATATATATATATATGGTTGCTCTTTGGTCTAATATATATAATATATCATATATATGGGCTTGGAGCTTGGTGTTGTTGTAAAATGGATAAGTCTTGGGTATGGCTGCCAAGGAATAGCATCGAGTATGAGAAAGGAGCAACTACATTTGTTTATTCATCAGCGAGGAGTTTGACTGGCTTAACTGGGAAAAAGGTAAGTTAAAACTAAACACTTGTGTTCTATGAAGCAAAATTAAATGTTATTGAACAATGTCCATTGATTCTTGTCAGGACCAGTGTGAAGAGGTATCTAAATCAGAGGCTAGTGATCATAGTAAAGGTGTTAGATGCCAGCTTCTTGATTGGTGTTCAGAGGATGATGTTGTTGTAGGAGAAGGGGAATTCTGCTCAGCTGAACAATGGTACAAGATTGGTCGTATTCCACTTGGTCGTCATGCTGCGGCTGTTATTGTGAAGTCAGTGTCTGATGAAACAGCCTCTCTATGGAGACCTACACCATCTGTATTCTTACTTGGTGGAGCTTTGGGGACCAAGATTGCCTGGCCTTTTGATAAGATCATTCTAGACAATGATGCAGACTCTCCTATTGAGAATAAGACTGCAGGATCCTCAGTAAGGTTTTCTTTCCTTTACTTGTCAAATATCAGTATAATATATAAGCTTAATCAATTATTATTTATGAATCATTAGGCTACAGATGGATCTCACACAAAAATCCTCATAATTGATTGGAATTTGGCTGACTCTGTGGTTGCTGAGGGAAGATTGTGTTCAACTGACAAGGACGAAATGGTCAACAATATGCCTCTTGGTCATTCTGCTGGAATTGTTAATGTTGAGAAAGTGTTTAACAAGAACGCATATCTGTGGAGACCAAGTCCGGGAAAGTTTTTGATGAAGGATGTACTACATGAGAACATCGCATGGCCTCTTCAGAGTATACAATTTGTGAATTCCTCACCAAGGAATGAATCAGCAGCAGCAGATAAAAGACCATCTCCTCCACTGGTAAATTTTTTGAACTTTTTACTTTAAGTGAATTGATGAATGATGGATTTAAGTAATTTTTGATTTTTGCTTATTGTAGAGCTTAAGTAACAGCACTGGTAGCACTGGTAGCAAATCAGTCAAGAAGAAATGCATCTTGTTAGATTGCAAAAACTCCAGGGAAAAAGTAGCAGAAGGAAGAGTATGTCCATCTAATCCATCTGACACAGTCCATCATATGCCTCTTGGTGCCAATGCGAGCAAGGTTTGGGTAGAAGTGTCCAAGGTTGGAGATGCAGCTGTGTGGAGACCAAACTCTGAAATTCAAACCATTGCCGATGCAGTAGGTAGTATGGTGGCTTGGCCTAATGATAAAATCATGTTTGTCTAAATTGTTTGAGTACCAACATTGTTATTTTGGTGAATTCAGTACTTGCTAAGGCATGATCATGTAATTTGACATGTTTATCTAATATGAATTTCATTTTGTCGTTTTAAATCTGTTTTATATAATCTTAATTTGTAAATAATTTGATCAAAACAGAATTGAAACTGGAAATGGATGGTCAAATATTGCACCAAAACAAAATGCCATAAATTGAAACAATTGCAGTTTATTAACTGCTATTGTCATTTTATATATAGCAAAATAAATATGCTGTCAATAGTAGTATTTAATATCGAATATTAACCGCTATTATATTATTAATTATAGCATAAAGAAAAGCGCTGTAATAACTAACTTTATGGTAGCATAACGAAAAACCGCTATAATATGTCTCCGACCTATTATGACGGGCGATGATAGAGCGCTTGTTAAAACGCTACAGTAGCGTTATATAGCGTTATTCGGGCGCTACAGATGCTTCATTTTCCTGTAGTGAATAGAATCACACATAAGTTTGGGAAGTATAATTTTAAAAATTCAGTACCCATCATTTCACTATTTAAGCATATTTAGGATATCAAAGTCACAACATTCGTTAATTCATTATATACTTATTTTGGTGGATTGTGATAAAAGCAAATAGCTTTCACATAAAATTCGATAAATGATTTATATAAGTACCATTTGCTCAAAAAAGAAGATTTATATAAGTACCACTACTACTAACCATTCAAATTTTCATATATTCAAATATTTGAATATAAAAACATACAATGTTTTTTCTTTTGTCACTTCAATTCTCAGACTGTTCATACCAAATCAATTTATTTCAAATTATTCCAATTCATTAGTTGTGATTAGATTGAATATTGAAAAAACGAATTACTATTTAATGTATTCCAAATTCATTGAACTTTTTCGCAAGTTCACATAATTAATATAATTTTTTTAATGTTCTGACTACGTTAATATACACAAAGATTTTAGCCATGTAGATTTGAAAAATTGATTACCAACCAATAGAGTAGACTATCATAGATAATTATAAGAAGTTTGATTGGGTAAAATTTACAAAAACTTATTTTCTCTCTTTTTTTTTTTCCAAATGGTAAATCAGTTATATTGTAAAAAACTAATTGTGGGATTTATTAAAATTCTTTCTTTATATTTTTCATCAACCTTTTTTGGTTCTTCGAAAACAATAGTTATAAAATTTAAAAGCTGTAATTTTTATTTTTATTTGGAAAAGAGTAAAGGTTATATACAACTTTGATATCTTATATCTACAACCTTCTATCTATTGTAACAAATTTATGACTAGAATTCAACCACTATGACACATATGTATGTAAATATATTTTAATTTTTCCTTCGAATAAAGGAATTATAAAGATGGTTGTTAGGTAATGTCTTATTCAAAATAAGATAAAATAATTGATTTCATTCTTTGGTGTGATCATACCTCACAAAAAAAAACATTCTGGTATTCTTTGAATTTCAACCTTTATAGTACATTCAACAAAAAGATTTTGTTCCCATTGAATGGTGGCTCTTTTCAGGTGGAATATTATTTTTCTTTAATTCTATTATACAATTATAAATGTGCATTTTGAATTTGGTATCCAATTAATAATATTTTAAGTAAATGAGAATATCTTTTCCCAAACATTATTCTTTGATTAGGTTAATCTGTCTACATCATGATACATAAACCTCTCTTTTTCCCACATAACTGTTTGGTAACTTAACTTTTGTTTCACATCAAATCTTTTCTCATAATATTTTGTCACAAAGGACTAGTGATAAAGGTTTAAAGAGAACCAACTTATGAAAACAAAGCATAATTATTAGCTTGACAAAAAAAAAAGTTAGGCCATCGCTATCAATTTTTTTTTCCAAGATAATTATAATCACACAGTTTTAACATAATATTGAAGTGCAAATATACACTACCGAAGTTACTGATTAGAAAAAATTACACTACAAAGGCAAATTTTTGAAACAGAAAATTTAAAAACAAATAATTCAAATACCATTTTCATATTTTCAAAAACAAGAATTATTTTTCACATTTTTAAATTGTTGCCATTGCAATATTTCGCCTAATAGCAATGAATATTTTATTAAAACAAAAAAATATATAGGGTAAAATTTTGAAACAGAAAATTTAAAAACATAAAAATAATTAAAGTTAACAAATATAATAAAAATATAGAAATATATGAATAACGAAATTATCTAAGTACATTTAAGTTTTACGTGGATAAACTTGACGTTGAGCCAAATGACTGCCAGTTATCTTCTAATTCGGCTTCAATCTAAGACATTATTTATTAAGTTACATAAATCTCATTGTCATGATGTTTTTTTTTATATAATAATTTAACTAAGTCACTAATGTCATCAATATTTTGGAGAGAATCAATTCAATCGTCCACTAAATTTGTACTTTTGGCACACTAATAATTTTTTTTCATCGCTTAGAATTTTATTTTGATTATATCCAAATTTTCCTATGTGAGGAATAATGATCTTAGAATAATATCTTTTAACCACCAATAAAGTATATAAGCATATGTTATTATTAATAAATTATTATTCTGGAACAGAAAACTAGCTACATCCCATGATTTTTTTTTTGGATAGTAATCCCTTATATATTAAAACTATAACGTATAATAGTACTAGAAAGATGCCCACGCGATGCGTGGGTTATATATTTAATATTAATTCTGAATAATAATGAAATTTGTATTAAAGTAATATGTTCGATTATTAATATAGTTTTTTGAAAGAATTTTTTAAAATATTAACTGTTATGTTCCTTTTCGAAGTACTTTTGTGAATTGCTAAAAAATAAATTCTGCTCTTTTGTTATTCAAGATGGTATGACATAAATATATACCACTACTTTTTCTTAATTTACATAAAATATTTTATTGTGGAAATATATATATATATAAAAAACAAACCTAAACTATCTAACCGTTATCCAATTTCAACACTGTTTTTTTTTTGTATTTGTTAATGTCGATTAGAATTGTTAAGTCGTAATTATCTGTTCTTTTGTATCTGAATCATTTTTTATTCAATTGGCTAAAGGTTAAATAATTCAGGTTTGTTACATTATTTAATAACAGGTATATGTTAAAATTGGCTAACGATTACATAGTTCAGGTTTGTTATTTGAAATTTATGTGGGTTCGAGTTGATAATTGGGGTTGATATTGGCCGTTTTCCCTCTTTGGATCTCATCAGAAGGTAGATCTTCCTGATCTCATGACTTTCCCTCGATAATAAGCTTTAGATATTATATCCATATAATCCATAATAAAATTAGGAGATCAAAGGTAAAACATAATCATATTTATTATTTTTTTTGCTAAATTTTATCTATATAAGTTAAAAATTAAAGAAAAATTTAAACAATTTGTGATAATGATTAAATTGAATAAAATAGCAAGGTGGTCCAAATGAGCAAAAACATATTTTATATATGTTAATCTGGGTTTTTCACATCTCTCTCTCGCTTCCGACTCAGCACAGCTAGTCAAAGCTTTAAAATCAGAGCTTCAACACAAGGAGCTTCATGGGATTCTTTTCGATATCCTGAATTTATCTTCTACCTTTAATATTATTTCGTTTAGTTTCATTCCCCGTTTGCAGAACTCAGATGCCGATTCATTGGCAAAACAATCTCTGGTTTCTCTTGTAATGGGCCTAGCCCAAACCTAAGTTAAATTGAATCAGACTATGCACAAAAAACAAATATATATGTTACACTTAATTATAATCATATTTAATTTACGAAAATGACTTCAGATGATATAATAAAAAAATTTATCTTTGAAAGTTTATATTAAAAAATGCCATTTTATAAACTTTGTATATATATATATATATATATATATATATATAGGTCATAAGAGTACAAAAATTTAATAAATATAAAGTAATGCCGTTTATCTAAATACTTTAATGGCATGTTAGGTTTTAACTGAATTAGTCAATTATGATATTCTATGCAATTACCCTTAGCAAACATAATTCTTTTCAAAAATCCCATGAGGATAGATTAAAAAAATCTTTGGTGGAACTTTTTAAATTTTTTGGTTGAATTTCATTGGGTTGGTTTTATGGAAACTTTGATAAAAATAAATACAAATTTTATATTCTTTCATATGATCTTTATTTCTTACTTAATTTGTATGATTGACTAAAAAAAAATTGAATTCAAAACATAATCAAGTCAAATGTTATAAAATATTTTTTTTTAAAAAAAAAAACTATTTACTCGAGCTATATGAAACTCAAACGTCGATCCCTCTCAAACGTTGAGTAATTATGTAAAAGAAATAAAGAATGACATAAACTATCAAATAAAGAATGACTCATGATCCCATGAGTTTAACGTATTCAAGAACAAAATCATCTTGAAACAGCTTTACAAATTCATAAATTTGAAAACAAACTCTTAACTTTTTGATAAGTGATGTTAAGAATAATTACATAAATGGTTTTTCAATTTATATCATAATTTTTTTAAGAAACTTATGGTTTTCAAATTTATGAATACATATAGATCATAAGAGTAAAAAATTTAATAAATATAATGTAATGCCATTTATCTAAATACTTAAATTTATAATTACACTTTAACTTACCATAATAATAGATATAAATTTTCTCAATGTATGTATATAAATCTTATTGGTGAGTTGAAAAATAGAGAAACAATTAAAAATAGAACTTTTAAAAAAATAGAACACTTTTATGTAGAACTAATGGTGTTGGTGAACCTAACTTGAACACCATATGAAATCACAAACCTAACTTGAACACCAAATGAGAAAAATTTTGTAGATATTTTTACTATGTGGACAATAGCCTGAAATAAAGATAAAGCAACTAAAAATCAATAAAAAAATAAAAGAATGGACCGGAAAAAGCAAAAACTCTACAATTGTTTTTTTAGCTTCACATGTGGGTAATATATAGAAGTAGATTAATTGGAGTCAATATTTAGAGTATTAATTTACACTCTAAAATTAATTAGATTTAATGTTTTGAATTAATTGGAGTAATTGTGGTTATCTGTTAGCCTAATGCATCAATTTAGAGTTAACTAATGCATCAATTTATAAGTTCATTTGTGGGTTTTAATTTGGGTAACTAATTCCAGAAAAAAAAAAAAAAACACTTATATATTTCGGTATTAGAAGCCAAATGAAAAACGTTACTGAAGAAGAAAACTCGTCGCAAACATTTATTTTGAGAGAAGGCGTAACACATGGAACAATACATTAATATAATGCATGTTACTATATTTTTTTATTACAATTACATTGACTGTTACATAAGTTAGAATTTCATTCACTGAGACATTTATAATATAATATACAGTAAAACCTCTATAAATTAATAATGTTGGGATCAACTCGGAAAAAAATTATTATCTTATTAATTTATCGATTTATGTCATATTTTACACTGGTTCTAACTCGGAACCGAAAGAATTTATTAATTTAGAGAGGTTTTACTGTATGGGATGACATATTAAATTTAATAATTCCTGTAAATTATATTATACTATATAAATACATTAAATGTATTGTGTAATAAAAATTGAAAATAAATACTCCAACTTGGAGTTGTAACATGTGAGAATAAATTGGTGTTATAAATGTTTTTCTTAAAAAAGTTAGATTGGAAAGAAGAAGAAAAAAGAAACAAATTAGAAAAGATTAGAAATGTATTTTATGGAGATATGAAAATATTATGTAAGATAGAAAAATGAGGAAAACAATTAAATTTAAAAATAGATGCCAAATGTACTAATATTATGAGAAGTTTTAAAAATGTACTAATATTTTGTGAAGTTAAAATTTTACTGATCCATAATTTTGAATCAGATGAATTAGTGGTGAGTAAGTAGATAATAATTTTGGCAAAACAAATTAGATACAAATTTCAATTTAAATACATGTCAAATGTATCAATAGGATAAGAGAAATATATTTTTTGGAATTAAATTGTAGGTACAAACTTTCCAAACTAAAGATTTTAAATACATTAAAACAAACATTAATGAAATGAAGGAGGACACATGTCACCAAAAGAAAGTGCCAAATGTCGCAATGGTAGAAAAAGTTAGAAGTAAACCTTCTCATATTATATAAGATATTATGTTTTAACAATTCATTTATAATATCACATATTTTTAGTTTTTGACTAACTTGTTTTCTCGTTATTTTCTTTCATGTGGTTTCCCAAATCAACAATGATTTCTAAATTTTAGTGGTTTGACTTTATATAGAAAACTACATAGTAATTGCTTACAAACTAATATATTTTTGGGCAATTTCTATTTAGAAATTATATTTGAGTAAAAATTGATGCTAAATGCATATCGATTCCCGCGATTTATCTAAATAACTCATAAAATAACAATTTAAACCGTCGAATGATTTACTCCAGCCTAAAACTCATTCTTAAAATTGTCTAATTTTTCTAATTAGTCATTATTATTCGATGAAGTCTCAAAATATCAACAACAACGTTGGTGTTTGGTGTTCTAAAACATTCTTCGATGATTCGGTGTTCATGAGTTCGTAAATGTTGTCATAACATCTTTGTTTTTTTTTAAGTACTAAAATCTCTATATATAATATGTTAGTTATGGCAAATGAGATTAAAGACTTAAAGCTATAAACATGGTAAATTTTGATGTGTAGTACAGTAAGATTGTATGATATAGAGTAGAACTATTTTTTATTTTTGTTTTTAAAACCAAACTATATATTTTAATATGCCGTGTCATGTGAATGTCCTCTTATATCGAATATAACCTCTCTTTTTTTTTTATAACCTCTCTTTTTTGTCACAACAATAATCTAAATTTCATTTTCTTCCAAAAACGAAAACTTCATCACATGAGTTTGGTGTTTTCTTAATCTTACATGAATCATATATTTCGTTTCTTCCAAAATCAAAACTTCATCACATAAGTTTATCATAAAGATTAAAAGATTAAGACAACGAACATAATTCACCTACGTTTAGATGATACGTTAACGTTTTTGTTACTAACTTTCTAAAACGAAAATGTTTGATTCATCAAATAATTTTGACACTCAATCAAAACGAAAACGTTGGTGTTTGTTGTTCTTTTAATCTTTTATCAAACGACTTATCATTTGGTTTTATTTATTTTCGCATTACGTTTTTGGAGCCATTAAAATATGAGGATTTTCAAAGCTGAAAATACGTTGTTAACTCAGAATGTCTCCAAGGTAAATGATGCTTTTAGCAAAATAAAATTTTAAAAGAAAAGGGGAAACAAAATGAATCTTTCCAGTGACTTTGAGCAAAGACAGTTTTTTTTATATATAATTGCCCTACAAAATCTGTTCAAAGACTAATCACTCCACTCATAAATATAATATAGCAAATATGAATTAATTTAAATAAATATGTATATGCATATTGACAAGAACCGTTAACATTGCATAATTCTTCTTCTTCTCCCCTTTTTTTCCTTTTAATTTTGTCGATTCTCTCGTCTTTATATATTCTTTGCCCATATGTAAGTAAAATAGTCTTTGTCTGATAAGAAAAAACAAGTAGTCTTTGACTGGTTAATACTTAATATATCCAGAGATTGTCTAATATTTTTCAAAACTATTCCCAATGAACATAGTGTCTAATGTTTCGACAAATAATAAATCAACTAAATCGGATTTATAGTATATACACTATAATTCACCGCTGCAAAAAAAGGAAAAATTAAGTGCATAAACATAACTGAAAATTATCAAATCCGTCCTACATTTTTTTTTTGTCAAAAAAAGAAGATCCATGCATCCTGTAAAAGAAATCAAATATGACGAAAGTAAATAAATCTAGTTTTATCCGGTTTGGTTTGATTAAGTTGGTGTAATGGTGTTTATTATTTTCTCTATTTCATTTCTATTGTTGTTTAAGGTTGTTGTTACACATAAACTGAAACTCATTTATCTCATATTTTTTTAAAGTAAAACATCATTTATTATCTATATAAAAACAGTTTAACTAATAAAAAAACAAGCTGAAAAATACAAATGTCACAAAAACTGAAAAACATAATATTTTTCCTAAAGCATCAGTTGATATGATGCGGATGGAATAACTGTTTTTGATGGTATATATGTCTGTCGCTATAACTAACGTAACTATTAACTGGAGATTTGCATAAAAATTAAATCGACTATTATTAGAAATATTTGTATACATTGCTCTTTTTTTAATGATTTCAAAGTGTCGTGAACTCAAATAAAGAAATTAATAATTATTATTTCAAAGTGTTTTGAAATGTATTGCTAAAAGTACAAATATTTCTATTCCATATTTTGAAGAATAGTGCAGGAAAAATTATAACAATTTCTCCAAATTCAAATATCATCAAAATGATTTTAAAACCTATTAGAACTCAAAGAATTTAAAAATATATAATTAAAGTATCAAACACATCTCTAAGAGTCCAATTGTTATCAGTAAAAAACCTTAAAATTTAGTTCTTGTGCTTATGACCCATTAAACAATATATGTGTTTTTATTTTGGGGTTTAAATTAAAACCAAGTTTAAGTTTAAGCCCTAGTAAAAAGGAAGATCCACCAAAAATGGAGGAACCAAAGAACAAGCCCTTGCCTTTGGGGTTGAATCTTATCTAATCAATCACTCAAAAACTGATTTTGTCACATTTCTTGATCTTTTGATGATAACTAAATCTACTACAAAACACAAAGAAGTTTCCGTTTGTGTGTTTCTCAAAGTTAGACATACGAAATCGTGTAGGTCAAGCAAGTGATTATGAGTCACAAAGTCTCCAAGAAGTTAGACGAGGAGCAAATCAATGAGCTCCGGGAGATTTTCCGGTCATTTGATCGGAACAAAGACGGAAGTTTAACTCAGCTCGAGCTCGGATCACTTCTCCGAGCACTAGGGGTTAAACCAAGTCCAGACCAATTCGAAATGCTTATAGACAAAGCCGACACTAAAAGCAACGGACTCGTCGAGTTCCCGGACTTCGTAGCTTTGGTCTCGCCGGAGCTTCTTTCGGCGGCGAAGAGGACGACTCCTTACACGGAGGAGCAGCTTCTCCGATTGTTTAGGATATTCGACACGGACGGAAACGGGTTTCTCACTGCGGCGGAATTGGCTCACTCTATGGCTAAGCTTGGCCACGCCTTGACCGTTGCGGAATTGACGGGGATGATTAAGGAGGCGGATAGCGACGGCGATGGCCGGATTAATTTTCAAGAGTTCGCTAAGGCTATTAACTCTGCCGCATTTGATGATTTATGGGGTTGAGTTTTCACTGGAGTGACTGGACTCTTCCATTATTTTCCCTTTTAACCTTTTTTTTTTTAGTTTCTATGTTTAGTTTTCACTATTCTACAAGAAAATTATATCCTTAAATTCAAAATAATTACTCAAGTCGAAATTCTTGACAACAATTTTGTTTTTTGAAGTAAACATGCCTCATTGTGATTTCATATGGTCGACTTAAACAACCTTGAAACTTGAAAGCACCATCGTCAAAAATTGCAAAACCAAGAAAAGTTTAAATGAATTTATACTAGTAATGATACTGATGTATAGTAATGATCTGGTTCAAACTTTTAATTATAATCTCTCAATGTAAATGGAAACTTTATTTAAGCGTTAGAAAGAAAAAGACATTGTCATGGTTTCTACATACTTGCTTCCGAGTCTATCCACTATCACATCAGTTTCTGCAATTAAAAGTTAAAAAAAGAGAGAAAGATTAGAACTTTGATGGGATTTTGCTGCTTCATCTTTCATCTCTGTGCTATCCACTGTAAAATGTCTTTCCTGATTACACCATCAAACCTGCCACTTGTAAGATAGCTCGGTTGAATAAGACTTCCGGCTAGACCTCCACTGTAATGTCTGTACTGAGTCGTAGTTCCGTTGGGTCTCGGCGGTTGGATCATCATAGAGACGGACGGGAATGGCTTGTGCCGGAAGTGTTTCAATGAAGAAAACAAGTGCCTATCGGATTCACGGTTTTGAGGAGTCTGCGTAGTGTTCGTGTGCGTTTTGGGCCGGGACAATTCCGTTAGTCTCTTTGCCTTGTCCAAGTTCGAATTGCGGTTATGTGGTAATTCTGGTCGAGTTCGTATCTGAGCTGCTGGTTTCATCCGATCAAGCCAACGAAGAATCCAGTTTCCAAGATTCCTACCAACTTCTATGTCTCTTTCTTGTATGTTCTTGTGAACCGAAATCGCCACATCGAAGATTTTACGAGTCCTCCTGAACCAAAACAAGAAGAATACAGAAGAGGAGAACGAGATCAAGTCAATGCATAACCCAAACAAATAAAGCTAAGCTTCTATCAGATCTCACAAAGCAAAATCATAGAGAAGAAACAACATGAATCACTAGACTTTCTATGTGAATTCAACGATTCGTAACCATCAAACACAACACTGCTACAATTGCTAAAGATCAAACAAAAACGAGAGCAAGAATCGATTTCAATCATCAAGGCTCATAGATCGGTTAAAGCCAACGATTCGAAATCACAAACCGAATCAGCAATTTCAACAACAGAAAAACCTAATTTCTCAAATGTGATTTCGTTTCCAACAACAGAATCAACCAAAATCGAAACGATCTCGATTAGAAATCTCACCGATGAAGAAATTGACGGATTTTGGGATGCTTCGGACTAACAATCCGACGCTGGATCTTCAAAGCGAGCCTATAAGTCCGTCTCAGTCCCAAGAAGTAAGCTGTTCCTAGAGTTATCTCCCAAAACACCATCTTCCTTCTAAAACCTTCTTCTTCTTCTTCGGCTACACGATTATCGGATGATCGCCATTTTTGTCAGTCACTGACCTTTCTGGTTAATAGTGATGCAATCCTCACCGTCTATTTCACTTGTTCGAAGAAGTCATATTGGGCCCTTAAATGGGCCACTTTAATGGAGTAGATATATGGGCTGCATTAAACAGAACCAATCTTAATGTTTTTTTTTTCTTCAACAACCAATCTTAGCTTAGACTACGGAAACTACTACAACAGAACCTATATAATCTAGGAGAATATTTTTTCAAACATATAGACTAAATCAAACCCTACAAAATGTACTTCGTTTGATTTATTTTTTCACTTGAAAAGATTAGAGGCCAACGACGTTTATAAATATCAAAAAATTTACTAGTGATTGTTACTTCGTTTTCACAAATCTTTCTCTTAAGATGGCGGACGAATGCAGCCCTAGACGCTGTTTATGTTGGCCTTGTACTTGTTTGATAAATTTCTGTCTATCACTGTTCTTTTTCATCTGTTTCGCGTCATTCATTGCTTGGATCATGGTCAGATCCAATGACGTGAAATTCCAAGTCTACGACGCAGAGCTGACACATTTCAATCTCGAAAGCAACAACAACCTCCATTACAATCTCACTTTGAATCTCTCCATCCGGAACTCAAAGAGTAGTATCGGAATCCATTACGACCGGTTTGTAGCAAACGTTTACTACATGAATCAGTGGTTAGGAGCGGTTCCGATGCCGTCGTTCTACCTGGGAAGCAAGAACACGACGCTTCTCAGAGCATTGTTTGAAGGCAAAACTCCAGTTTTACTAGACGGTAATGGACGCAAAAAGTTTGAAGATGATCGGAACACTGGGGTTTACAGAATCGACGCGAAGCTGAGTATTAATTTTAGGGTTATAGTTTTGCATTTAGTAACGTGGCCAATGAAACCAATTGTGCGTTGTCATCTTAAGTTACCATTAGCATTAGGTTCCTCTAACTCAACAGGAGGGTTTGATTACCAACCAACAATGTGCCGCGTCGGCTTCTGAAGTTTTAATTTTTTTTGGTTTTGATTTTGTGGTTATGTACTTTTTTCACTAAAAACCAAAGATGAAAGAAACAAGGATAGTCTTCTCAAACAATCCTTATGAAAAATATTTGAAAAGGAATTAATAAAATAATTGACTCTCGAACTAATTTGAATTAGTGATTTCGGAACATGCCCCAAAACCGGCCAATACGACTTTATATTTCCCTTTTTCCTCGAAGTCGAATCATTCCCTTTTTTTGGGTTGGTTTCGGTTTGGTTATTCGGTACTTAGTATTCTTTCAATCCTCCACGTGTCTTTAATGAGTAATGACACATGTAAAACCAAAAAACAAAAAATTAAGAGTTAAATAAAAATTCGTATATGTCCTCTTCATAGTCATTCCTTAGAAGCAATTTCGAATCTTTTTTTTGTTTTCCAATCCAACATAACCCATAAATCAAAGAAGAACGTTTTGCAGATTCTTCATTAGTTACTACAATTTTGCTTCACGTTCTCGAAAAATATGAGCTTTCAGGATTTGGAAGAGTATCAGAAGGCACAGCATATTGCAGTTGAAAGGGAAACTTCCTACAGTACTTTTGATCCAAAAGCCAACCTTTCTTCAACGTATTGAAATAAAAACTACATTCACTTCAACAGTAGCGATAACCACTATGTTTTTTGTATCATCGAGTTCGATATCAGAACCTCTACAACCGTTTGGTATTGATTGATTGATTGCTCCACCTGTTATTGGTTGGAAACAAATTAGTTCAAACACATTAGTTGTTGAATACATTTGGTTTTTCTTCTTATAGTCGGCTTGAAGTTAGTATTACTGATGTTTTTGTTTTCATATATACCAGTGAGGTAGACATTGGCTATGATAGATCACAAGAGCAGCGTGTCCTCATGGAATCTAGGAGGTAAGTAAGTTCTATGCATCATATGTCTGTAAATAACTACCACGTTCATGCTTGTAAGTTGTAACCTCTCTTTCTTCATCTGAAGGCAAGAAGTTGTGTTGCTTGACAACGAAATTTCCTTCAACGAAGGATATAGGGATAATTAACCATTAATAAGTGATAGTTTCAAAGACCTCAATTAGATCATTATCTTGGAATACGACGATTCCATACCAATATACCATTAAACACCAGTAGAATCGCATACAATTGCCCCATTTTGATTAAATAAACATATGGGCCGAATCTTATTTAAAATGTTTCTAATAATGAAACTTATGAAAGTCTCATTAAAAAGATCGTCCATAGTTTAAATTTACATGGATTGTTGGAACTAATTTAAAAGCTTACGGGTAAGCTTAGACTTGAACTCAGGAGATACCAAGTATCGTTAGCTTAACTGATAAAGATCCTAGGCGAAGTTTAGAAGTCGCCGGTTCGAGTGACGTTTGAGACGAAACTAATATTACATGCTATGGTTTCGGGCCTGAGAGGATTACGGGTTTTGGCCCAGAACCTCCTGGTATCCAAAAAAAAAAAAAAAACTCAAGAGATGACTACGGAGACTACTAATATAGAACCGGGGGTGTTATTGGCTTTTAATTTCCAAAGAATTTTGATGACTTTAATAAAATAATAAAAAGTAAATAAATGAAAGATTCTAAACTATTGCTAGAGACTTTTCTATAATCTTGTTGATTAGTTTTTCATAATCTTGTAAAGTTTTTTAAACAATCTCTCTATTTTGATGATATTTTTCATGACTTTATTTTGTGAAGAAAAATATAGAAAGTCATAAACCAATAACATAATAATTTAATTCATTAACAATCATAGATTCTTTTGTTTTAATTCAATAACACAAAACTTTTAATGACTTTATAAAAGTATGAATCCAATAACTACAGATTTATAAAGGTTTTAGATTACATTTTACAAATCTTAAATTAATAAAACCAAACTTTAACAAACTTTTAAAAAATTTTGATTGAATAACAATAGATTCTACATAAAATTTAAACTCACTAAAACTCTATTTAAATCACAAACCAATAACACCCCATAAATAATAGATCAACTTCTATAATCTAAGAGAATAATTTTTCAAACATATAGACGAAATCAAACCCTACAAAGTGTACTTCGTTTGAGTTTTTTTTTTTCACTTGAAAAAATCAAAGGCCAAGGACGTTTATAAATTTCAGAAAAATTACTAGTGATTGTTACTTCGTTTTCACAAATCTTTCTCTTAAGATGGCGGAGATGGAGGACAAATGCAGCCCTGTATACTGTTTATGTTGGCCTTTTACTTGTCTGCTAAATTTCTGTCTATCACTGTTCTTTTTCATCTGCTTCGCGTCATTCATTGCTTGGATCATGGTCAGATCCAACGACGTGAAATTCCAAGTCTACAACGCAGAGCTGACACATTTCAATCTCGAAAGCAACAACAACCTCCATTACAATCTCACTTTGAGTCTCTCCATCCGGAACTCGAAGAGTAGTATCGAAATCCATTCCGACCAGTTTGAAGCAAACGTTTACTACATGAATCAGTGGTTAGGAGCGGTTCCCATGCCGTCGTTCTACCTGGGAAGCAAGAACACGACGCTTCTCAGAGCATTGTTTGAAGGCAAAACTCCAGTTTTACTAGACGGTGATGGACGCAAAAAGTTTGAAGATGATCGGAACACTGGGGTTTACAGAATCGACGTAAAGCTGAGTATTAATTTTAGGGTTATAGTTTTGCATTTAGTAACGTGGCCAATGAAACCAATTGTACGTTGTCATCTTAAGGTACCATTAGCATTAGGTTCCTCTAACTCAACAGGAAGGTTTGATTACCAGTCAACAAAGTGCCATGTCGGCTTATGAAGTTTTAACCTTTTTTTGTGTGTGGATATGGAATAATATTTTTTTTATATAACCCTAGTGTTATACGTTTTTGCTTTTGATTTTGTGGTTGTGTACTTTTTTCACTAAAAACCAAAGATGAAAGAAACAAGGATAGTCTTCTCAAACAATCCTTATGGAAAAGATTTGAAGAGGAATTAATAAAATAATTGACTCTCGAACTAATTTGAATTCGTGATTTCAGAACATGGCCCAAAACCGGCCCAATACGACTTTATATTTCTTTTTTCCTCGAACTCGAATCATTCCCTTTTTTCGGTTTGGTTCTTCGGTACTTAGTATTTTGACCAGACCAAATTTAGACGGAGCTTCTTTCAATCCTCCACGTGTCTTTAGTGACACATGTAAAGCCAAAAAAACAAAAAATTAAGAGTTAAATAAAAAAAATCGTATATGTCCTCCTCATAGTCATTCTTTAGAAGCAATATCGAATCTTTTTGTTTTGTTTTCTAATCCAACATAACCCAGAAAACAAAGAACAACCTTTTGCAGATTCTTCACCATTAACTTCAATTTTCTTCACGTTCTCGAAAAATATGAGCTTTCAGGATTTGGAAGCGGGGAAGCCATTGAAACCACCGCAAAGGAATTTGATCAACAATAAGAGAGATGTGACACAAGCGGTGGCTTCTGGTATCTTTCAGATCAACACGGTGGTTTCTACTTTCCTACGACTTGTTAATACTCTCGGTACGCCTAAAGATACGCCAGAGCTTCCTGATAAGCTGTGAGTTTTATTGTTTTTGTTTTTCTTTGAGTTCATGCATTTGATCTCAGTTTAACTTAAGTGTAGAAATTGCGAAATCATGCCTTAATTATTTAAAGTTCTAAAATTACCCTTTCTAATTACAATTCATACTTAATTGGTCAAAATGTATTTTTTCCTTTTAAAAATATAAACATACATATTGTTGGAATATTAAAATTTTATCTAACGCGTGACTATTTCATATTTTTCCTTTTTTTTTTAATTTGCCACCTTTCATATATCCATTTTTTTAGCTAGATTTCGGATTATTTTGTAAGCCAAATATGGAAAACAAAAGTAAGAAAGTAAATTCTTCTTATACAAAAAAAAAAAAGGAAAAAAACAATCACAGGCCGACGACGTTTATAAATAAGAAACTAGCTAGTCTGTTACTTGTTCATTCACAGATCTTTCCTCTTAAGACAGGGCCTAGGTCTTCTAAGGAACACATGGCGGACAAACACAACCTTCCATGTTGGATACGTTGTCCCGTGAATGTGATCAGTTTCTTTATAACACTGGCCCTTTTCGTCTGCTTCGCGTCTCTGATTGTTTGGATCATGGTCCGATCCAATGCCGTGAAGTTCCAAATCCACAAAGCACAACTGACACAATTCAACCTTGACCTCGAAAACAACAATCTCAATTACAATCTCTCTTTGAATTTCTCCATCCGAAACTCGAAGAATAGTCTCGGAATCCACTACGACCGGTTTGAAGCCATGGTTTACTACAGCGATCAGCGACTAGGAGCGGTTTCTGTGCCGTCGTTTTACCAGGGACACAAGAACACGACGGTTCTCGTAGCATTGTTCCAAGGCCAAAGTCTAGTTTTACTCGACCGTAATGGACGCAAAAAGTTTGATGATGATTGGAAGATTGGGGTTTATAGACTAGACGTGAAGCTGAAGATTAGTTTTAGGGTTATGATTTTGCATTTAGTGACGTGGCCGATGAAACCAATTGTACGGTGTCATCTTAAGGTACCATTAAGTTCCTCTATCTCACCCGGAGGGTTTGACTTTCAGTCAACCAAGTGCCACGTTGCTTTTTGAGAATTTTTGTTTTTGTTTTGGAATACGTTTTTGGTCTGTTATGTTTCATTAAACAACCAAAGAAACGAAGATAGTTTTATTATAAAATCCTTTTTACGATTTAAATTAATTTCATAAGAGAGATAAATACTTCGAAATCGATGAGCAAGAGGAAGAAATTAAAATCGATACAATTTACTTTTAAAATATTAATTAAAAGAGAAGAGGGACTGCGACTCAAAAGACGATTGGCATCGCTTGATGAACTTGAGGGAGATATAATGCTGACTTCAATTTGAATCTTCTGCCCATGAATTCAGTGATGAATATCTCTCTAATTCCTAACATCTCTGTCCTTTTATTCTTCATTTCAATCCATCATTATTCACTCTCTCAAATTTGTTTAGCCGCGACGGTTACGGCTTTTGCTCTTTTATCGTTTCTCGATAACCCATCAAATTCTGGTGGGATTTCGTGTGCGAATTTTCACACTGAATCTGGTTCGGTGTTGATTTCACCCGCTGGCAACAGTGTCTTCACTTTTCCTAGCGATGTTTATGATGACGCGTCTCTTTCAATGGATCAGACGACGGTTTCTCTCAATATCTCTAAAGGAGATTTGAGTTTTCTTCTTATCGATCATGTGGGGATGATCTTCACAATCATCGATTTTCTTCCGGTGGTCTCCGGCGTTTTATCTCCGTTCGATACAACTTCGAACGGCTTCGATCTAGTGATTCAATTTCATGATGAAATTCTCACTGCCTTGTTGTGGAAACAACCGCCATGGAAACCACCATGGACGATGAAACGTGATCTACTTTTCTCTGAAGATGCTTCAACAATATGTGTTTCCACTCTATGTGATTTTCCTCACATGATGCATCCCATAGATGTTGATGCTCTTGGAAGAACTTCGAATTCCCGTTGGTATCACATACTCGTCTCACCAAAGATAACATCAAGGCAGATGGAATCCAAGCAAGCTTTGGTCAAAGTGCAAACAGCCCAACTGGTTTTGATGAAGAATATTTGGCGAGGATCTTGGAGTATCATCTTATCGGTGAGCGGCAAAGATGGAAATCGTTTTAGACTATGTATGAATAAGGCAAATTTGCTTTTCATATCACCGAAGAGACGAGTTTCAGAATCATCTCTAGCAACATTTAATTTGTTTCCATTAATTAAGGTAATGCCGAGTGCATTTTGGAGTTTCATCAAAAAAATGATAGCCAATCGAGAGTTTATGGAAGAGGGACATAACAGATTTCATCTGTTAGCCTGTAAGGCTTCCGAAAGGATAGCGAGGTTATATCCACTCTTGCATCGAAATTGTTTCAATTTCCTTTATTTGCGTACAACGGTTGTATTGTATTTGATTCTATACTTTGTAAACTCTTTGTGATATGAAAGTATTTGATTTGCCGTTAAAAAAAAAAAAAAAACTTTTCGAATATGGCCCAATAACGGCCTAAAATATTTTAGACGGCCCAGATTAAACGCATGTTCTTTACTTATTTCACTCCCTCCACGTGTCTTTTACGACAAAACAGAGTAAGCCAAAACCAAAACTGTTTCTCAACAAATTAATTAAAAAATCATTCATCTCCTCTCCTCTCCTCTCCTCTCTTTAGAAGCAAAGTTCGAATTTTGTGTGTTTGCTTCTTCTTCAAACGTAACCCAGAAATCGTTTGCAGATTCTCATCGATTAATTCTTAATTTCTCTCCTTAACCCTTCAATTTCGGTCTATCAAAAGATGAGCTTTCAGGATTTGGAAGCAGGGAAGCCATTGAAACCACCGCAAAGGAATTTAATCAACGGCAAGAGAGATGGGACACAAGCGGTGGCTTCCGGTATCTTTCAGATCAACACGGCGGTTTCTACTTTCCAGCGACTTGTTAATACTCTTGGTACGCCTAAAGATACGCCCGAGCTTCGTGACAAGCTGTGAGTTTTTTTCTTTGGAATCATGCATTTGGTCTCAGTATAACTTAGGTTGAAATTGCGAAATCATATCTTATTTTTTTAGGGTTTTATGAAATGAGTCTTGTATTTTCATGTTTGCATGTTTTGTGGTCTAAAGTTTTAATCTTTTTGTATGTGTTGTTCTATGTTGTTGGCTTAGTTCTCTGTTTGATTGATCAGGCATAAGACAAGACTACATATTGGTCAATTGGTAAAAGATACTTCTGCAAAACTTAGGGAAGCTAGTGAAACCGATCATGGTAAAGATGTTGCTGTAAGTGTTTTTTTTTTTCTTTCAAGATGAGTGACGTAGAAAGATGGGAGATTTGTGTTGTTTATTGTTGTTGTTTCTTCTATTGATGGTGAATTGGTATTTGGTGCAGCAAAGTAAGAAGATTGCAGATGCTAAACTTGCCAAGGATTTTGAAGCAGTGTTGAAAGAGTATCAGAAGGCACAGCATATTGCAGCTGAAAGAGAAACTTCTTACACTCCTTTTGATCCAAAAGCCAACCTTTCTTCAAGGTATTGAAAAAAAATACGTTCACTTCAACAGTAATGATAAGCACTACGTTTTTTGTATCATCGATTTCGATAACAGAACCTCTACAAGGGTTTGAAATTGATTGATTTGCTCCACCTGTTTTTTTGTTGGAAACAAACTGGTTCAAGCATACAAGTTGTTGAATTTGTAGCCTATTTTACCTGTAATGTTCTTGAGTGGTAGTTTTTCACTATAAAAACTTTCTGTGTTCTGATAGTTGGCTTGAAGTTATTACTGATGTTTCTGTTTACCTATATACCAGTGAGGTAGACATTGGCTATGATAGATCACAAGAGCAGCGTGTCCTCATGGAAACTAGGAGGTAAGTAAGTTCTATGCGTCATATGTCTGTAAATAACTACCATGTTCATGCTTGTGACTTCTCTTTCTTCATTTGAAGGCAAGAAGTTGTGTTGCTTGACAACGAAATTTCCTTCAACGAAGCGGTGATTGAGGAAAGAGAACAGGGAATACAGGAAGTTGAGCACCAAATCGGTGAAGTAAACGATATTTTCAAAGATCTTGCGGTGTTGGTTAACTATCAAGGAGACATAATCGGTAAGTCTCTGAAGCGAAAAAAATAACAACAGTCAAGACCTAGAATGCTTTGATTCCAATTCTCAATCCTCTTAAAATGTATTTTATTACAGATGATATAGGTAGCCATATCGACAATGCACATTCAGCAACAGCTCAGGGAAAGTCCCATCTCGTAAAAGCCTCCAATACACAACGATCAAACTCATCCCTGGTAAGAAAAAAGAGAATAATCTGTTATTGGTTCACTTGGTTTGTTTTCATGTTCCTTACTTCTCCTTTTCTGGTGATTATGCAGATGTGTTTGCTAATGGTGATATTCGGGATCATTCTTCTCATCGTTATCATAGTACTCGCAGCTTGAGATGGCAAGAAACACAATCGTGGTCGTACATTCAAGAGAAGTCCGGTTTTTGGACATAGAAGTCTGAGTGTGCGAAGCCATACTTGTGTCTGTATATTCACTCTTCTATCATAATCGGCCTTCCGTCGCCGACTCTTTGTTGGTGCCGTATGGTTTGGTTTGACCAAAATTGTAGTTCGTTTCCGTTAGGTCCAGAGAAAAATAACCAAAGACTAGTGGTTCTAACTATGCATAACCTTATTTCATTTTCACTATACACAAGTGATAAGTCTTAAGAATCATATTTATATCAGTTAAACTCTTTTTTTACCTTTACAAACGATGTAACAAATAGTTTCATGATTTAGATAAATAATTATAGTTCTTCTCTTAATTTCATTATATTAAAAATATATTCAATTATATGATACATTCATCTATGATCTAACATAGTATATGTGGGTTTTATGTGTTAAAAGTATGTTTATGGTTTCGATTATTAAAGTCAACAAAAAAAAATGATGTAAAAATGTAAAGTCAAACTTGAAGTTTTAAATGTTGGTATATTGTTTATAAATTTTGTTGAATTTTTATCTATAAATAAGGATATTCCCATCCTAATATTCACACAATACATATCCATAAATAAAAATTTATCTATATAAATTGATGTACTACCAAAATAAGCAAAACGTAATAATCTCATTTCTATATATAAGATATCTTACATATATGTGTAAGATGGTAAGAGAACAAGAGAGTGAGATAAAAAAAAATGGAGAAGCAAATCTTTTGTCAATTCTTAGTGGTAATGATGTTAATGTCATCATCTCAAATTCAGGGAGAGTTGAGGAAAGGATGTTATGATTCAGGCATCACAGTTTTGATGGGTTGTCCAGATTCTATTGACAAGAAGCTTCCAGCTCCTCCGACACCATCCGAAGGTTGTTGCACTCTTGTCCGAACCATTGGAATGAAATGTGTATGTGAAATCGTCAATAAGAAAATCGAAGACACCATTGATATGCAGAAGCTCGTCAATGTCGCCGCAGCTTGTGGTCGTCCTCTTGCTCCTGGTTCACAATGTGGAAGTAAGTCTTATTTTTGAAGTTTTCATTCATTCACTAATTAGGAATCTAAGACTACTTGTGCTTCTTCTTTTTCCAGGTTACAAAGTTCCTGGTGCATGATGTGGGATCGATGCGAATATGCAAGATCTAATGTCAATTTCTTTGTTTACAAAATAAGTGCATAAAAATGCAAGAGTAATATGTAAACCGATACTATTTTTCTATCAGATTGTTGGTGTTGTTTAGTCAATTAGTCATTATTGTTAAATTATGTTGCCAAAAGCATATGTTCGCAGATCATATTAGATTTTTTTTATAAAAAAATACATATGTTACAACTTACAATTAGGGGTGGGCATTTAAACCGAACCGAACCGAACCGACCCAACCCAACCGAACTCAAACCGACCTAAACCGAACCCAAGCTTAGACTCAAACCATTCGGTTGGGTTTATTTTCAACCCAAATGGGTCGGGTCGGTTCGGTTTAAAACCGAACCGAACCGACAACCCAATGTGTTTATTTAATTAATTATTTAATTATATTAGTAATATTATAAATAACTAAATATGTGTTTATTTTTACTTTGATAATAATTTGAATAAATGTAAAATAGATTTAATTATCTCTAAAACTCTAACCCTAAAAAACTTAGGGTTCTCCTTCTAAAAAAACTTACAACTTGAACTTGATATTTAATTACTTTATCAATTTCAATGTTCAAACTTCAAAGACAATGATTTTTTTTGTTTTGTTACATTAATTGATTTTTTGAACCAAATTTAAACCGAACCGAAGTAAAACCGAACCGAACCAAACCGAACCAAACATAAACTGACCCAAACACAAACCGAACCAAACTAACTTCGGTTGAGTTTGGTTAGAGTTTTAAGAAACCCAAATAAACCGAACCGAACCGAACCCAAACCGAATCCGAAGTTAAACCGAAATGCCCACCCCTACTTACAATTAGTGATGCAATTTTGTTCTTCACATCCTCTTCCCGAGCTCTGAGTGTCTGAAGTATGAAAAAAAAACGAACCAATCACGAATTTGTTTTCTTGTTTCCCTGTAACTAGTCATGGGCGTTCGATTATCCGATCGGTTATCGGTTCGGTTCCATTCGGTTTCGGTTCTTTCGGTTATAAAATTTAGTATCTATTCGGGTATTTTGAAATTTCGGTTCGGTTCCGATTCTTTCGGTTTTAAAATTTAGTATCCATTCGGTTATTTTGCTTTGGATATTTTCGGATATTTCGGTTACTTTGGGTATTTTTGGATATTTTAAGATATTTTTCGGTTATTTTCGAGTATTTTTAATACTTTTATAAATTTTTCAAGTATTTTTGATTATTTGGTCTATAAATATCTAATATTTTTGAAAATATAATTGTATTTCGGATATTTTCGGTTACCCAAAATATTTCGGTTCGGTATCGATTCGGTTACGGTTATTTCGGTTATAGAATTTAGTATTCATTCGCTTATTTTCAAATTTTTGGTTCGGTTCAATTTTTTTTACTTCGATTTCGATTCGGTAGATTCAGTTCGGTTTATTTGGCCAGGCCTACCTATAACTCGTTTTATGGTCACATTTATTGGTCTTTAGCCCGAGTTTTTTTTCTGTTCTTTTTTCGGTTTACTTGGTTAAATTCGGTTTACATGATTAGTCCTCGAATAAAACAATTTCGGTTTAGTATTGTCACGGCTCCGTCAATGTAATTCGTTGATCCCAAATTTCTTCTCAACAATTTCGATTTTGATTTCGCGCTCAGTGATGAACGGCGCATCACCGGCTCATTCTTTGGTTTCGACGACCGCCGTAGCTGGTGGCGGTGGAAGCAGCGGAGCCGCCGCTGGTTTAGACGATTTCCATTTTCCACCGGATATTCCCTCTATGCAAGAGCGAAAAGACGAAGCTATGCGTGGTCAGTTCTTTATGATTTCGAATCTTAGGGTTTCCAATTCCTCGCTAATTTAGGGAATTTCTGTAACAATCGGTAATCGAATTTCTCAGTGATTAGACATTTGAGTATCACATCTCCAGATTTAGGGTTTTCGATACTAATATGTGTTTCAGTGTCAAATCTCCATTGTTAAGGTTGCTATGTGGAAATCAGAAATCTCAATTTTGTAGTTGTTCTTCGAGATGTGACTGTAAATGATTAGTATTGCTAATTAATTACTCAGAAATGATTAGGGGTTTTATTAGATTATTGAGAAAGATCATCTAATGGATTTGTTTTTTTATAATGGTGTAGTTTTGAAAGCTGATTTGATGACTGAACTTGACAAAGAGGTTAAATCTTTGGAAGAAGATAGTTGGATGTTCGAAGGTCCTCGTTCTCGAATCCATCTTATATCGAGAAGAGGTTTAGTTTCTTCTTCTTCTTCTTCTTCTTCTTCTTCAGATTCTTAGTCGATCCGGTTTTCGTGTACGGCGCAAAGCTGTTTTCTTGTCGACCAATTTAGAAACTGTTTACACCAATCTTGAATGTTTAAGTATAAAGCCTTTTTTTCTTCTTTGAATAAGTGTCAATAGCAGTAATCATCCCCAATGGTTCAAAATTTCATATATTGGCCATTCTCTAGATCTGGACAACTCGATAGGATGAGACGATTTGATAGAATCTGCGGGATAGGATGAGACGATTTGATAGAATCCGTGGGATAGGATGAGACGATTTGATAGTTTCTGCGGGGTTTTTGTGTGTTTCTTTTGGTGTTTCATCATCACTATGACACTCTACTGAACCATATTTGTGATAAAATGGGGTTTTGACTAGGTAACTTACTAAAGAAAGAAGGTGGAGCTGTGGTGAAATCAAGCTTTGTTCAGCTTCTCAGATGATCGGATTCAAGTAAGAAAATTCAGAAATGGTTGTATAAGCTTTATTTCGTGGTCGTCACAAATGTCACTAAAACGTTGACTTTATTTTTTCCCATTTTAAGGGACAAAATAGCTATTTCAATGGTGTTAATAATTTTATACAAGTGAAGGAAATCATTATTCGTTTAATGAGTCTATTAACAACAATAATTAATTTAAAACTCAAATATTTTTTTTTGTCTAACTAGTTCCTTTAAAAAAATTAGGTTATTATCATCTTCCCAACTATAACAAAGATTCTACTATATGTATGGAAAAAATTAAAAAGTACCAAAAGGTATTATTAAGGGTAAATCCCAAAACTTGTTTTACCTATTTTTATCAGAAGCAATTGATCACCATCACCTGAAAACCACAAATTGCTTGAGTTTGTTAAAACTGGCTCTGACAAGTGTCATACAAGTCTGGTCAGGTCAGGGCTCACCTCAAAGCTGCTAACTAGACACTACTCTACGGATTGGACTACCATACTCAAACTCCTCACGGACAAGACATTGGGTAACAATCGTTTATTTCTATTGAGATATGCTTTCCAAATTCTAGTGTACTCGATATGGAAAGAAAGGAATAGCAGAAGACATGGCGAAGAACCACTCCCATCAGCCCTTTTACTAAAAAGGCTTGACAAGGAGGTTCGAAACAAGCTCTCTACCATTAGAGACAAAGGAGACGGAAGATATGAGAGATGCATGATAACCTGGTTTGATACAAGATAGGAATGCTCTTGTTTTCTTTTTGACCATTTAGCAAATGTAAAGCCAACAAGCTTTAAGCTACAGTTGCACTTGATGTGCAAACGATTTTTTTCGAATAAATTTTACATTTTATTCAAAAAAAAAAAAAAACAGATACCAGTAGTCTCGGTTTGGCTTTCAGGATTGAGAAAAAACTAATCATAAACTAAAAACCGAACTTTAATTTCAGTTTGGTCCGGTTTAGTTTGAGATTTTTTGGTTTGGTTCAATTCAGTTTTGAATTTTTTTAAAAATAAGATAACTAATCAATTTTAGTTAGACTCATAGATTAAAATACTTATTTTTTTTTCTTAAATTTGATTAAAAATCATTTTTCTTCTTACAAATTTTCTGTTATCTGAAATAGTTCGGTTTAGTTTACACCAAACTTAGACTCGGTTCGGTATATACAGTATGCTTTTCTTTGTTACTGTAAAGATAAATAAAACTCGGTTCATTTCGGTTTTATTCAGGGTTTATGAAGGATTCATAATTGCAAAAAGGAGAACATATGAAAATTTCTGTTGACTTCATAAGTTCACATTGCTCATCTTCACGCGAAATGAGCTAAAAATTCAACAAGAGATTGAAACATGACACAGATTCTCATCTTTATAGAGAATTTGTGTGAATTGAGAGCTGAATGATGTAGTAATGTTATACAAGTTTGATATAAGAAAGAAGAAAGAAATGATCAGTGCATGAAATGAATATGTTGATCTCTCAGGGACTTGTGTTACCTCAAAAGACTTTAAAAACTCCCAAAAATCAAGGATTTTGCCTGAATGAAATAAACATATAAGCAAATATAGTTGAGTTATTAGAGTTTCTCTGATAGATTACTACTAAAGTTAATGTTAATTACCTTGAGAGATCTATGCTTTCAGGCGAGAGGAGACCCATCTGTTGAGTCAGATTATCCATCTGTGTAGTTTTGTCCCATCCATTTTGTTTCTGCTCTGTCTCATTGTCCACTGGTGTGAAATCCATATTATCTGGAACCGGGCTTGACATGAGTAAGTCTTCGAGTAATTTGTAATCAACAGGGCCCATATCAGGGTCCATTGGAAAGTCGTCGATGTCAAAATTGATCAACAGATCTGGGTCTAGTAATGGACTAGAACCTCCCATATTTGGTTCCATAAAATTCTCTGGAGGCTTCTCTGCGTTGTTTTCTGGTAGCATATGAGTGAATTCGGGAAGAGTTAGATCATCAGGTGAAGGAATACAGTTCTCGGTTGCTTCTGGTACTGCTGAAACATTTTCAGGAGTTGTTCCAACTGATGGTGATGATGACTGTATCTCAGAAGCTGTTGGCATTTCCTGAAGAGTTATACCCGAGGCGTGGTTTGATGAAGTCTCCATCTCTGTTCCCTCGGTAGTAGAAGTACCATTACCTAGAAGGAAACCATCATCGCCGGTTTTGTAAGGTTCCATCTTCATAAGCTGTTTAAACATTGCTTTGGCTTGCTCGTGCATTGGAGGTTGATACTTCACTATCTGTCCATCAGGAGAAGCAGAATCATTATTACGGACAATGCCGTCTCGCTTGAATCTCCTCTTCTTATTGGTATCACTGATGCGCCTGCTACTCTCGTTTTGCTGATTCTGCTGCTGTAAGAATTGAGATAGAAAATGAGGGCTTTGTACTGCCTTTGCAAGGAATGACATTAATTGTTGTTGCCGATTCTCCATGCCCTGGAGACGCTGAACCATCGTTTGAAGTTGGTTATCAGTGGACTGTTGCTGCTGTCTTAATCTGACGAGTTCTTGCATAAGGACGTTCTTATCTCTTTTAAGCCTTTCAACTTCTTCTTCGAGACCAAATTTGCCAACTTCAACACATGCACTAACAGATGAGTTCTGTCCATTCGAGTTCTGAGATTGCGGATGTCCATGTCCATGTCCCTGGGCAGGTTTTCGCCTAGTTATTGTTTTAAGCAAGTGCTTCTGACCTCTTAAGAAACCTTCATTTGCAAATTCCCATCTATCTGGGTCAACCTTCCGGAAACCCTGCATCAAGAAAAGACACGCAAAATGGAATGAGAATGGATTCCACCAAAACAAATGAGAAAGAGGTCGCCCGATAGCTTAAGAATTGCAAATCTAAAAACTTCAACACATAGTCTAACTGCCAACTATTCAGACAGCCATATATAGGAAGTAACAGATCAGTTGGCACATGCTCCGGAGCATTTTTCATTCAGAAGTCAAGTAAATGAAGCAGACCAATCATGCCATCATGGTCAATCTAATATATGAATTATGAAAAATACTAAATACATGTTCCTATTACAGGTCTTACCTACCACCAAAACCAGAGGAAAAACCAAAGTATCTAATAGGGATAATTGAAAACTAAGAGAGTGAAAATTCTCTATGAGATACCAGTGTAATCTTTATGTCACGTGTTACAAAAACAGTAACTTAGGAACAATAATATCCACGAATGTAGCAAACAAGAACTGCCAGCAGAAAAATCAAGCTTATTAAAGTGCATTCACCATCTTGCAGCACCATTAGCATCCTGCTCTAAATATTATGCAGCACCATATATCTACTTATGATCTAGTCTCTATTCCAGGCACTACTGATCACATTGGCCTGTTTAGCTTTTCAAAGACGTACTGTCTCCACTTGACCTTGACTCATCTACAACAAAATGATACAAAGTAAAACAGAAAGTTGATAACCTTGCACTCAGGTCATGATCAACATGAGACTTGCTCTCTTATTCCAATTTTCTTCTTTCTTCTCCTTTATAATGAATGCTGAGAAAATTCAGGAAGGTTTATTACTATCTTAAGACTATTACTAAACCTGATTACAGGGACTCCAACAGACAGCAAATACAACAAAGTATACATCTCTATTCATCAACACCCTCACATATCTATCATTCCCTGAACATCTTCTAGACTGTGTTGCCCATGCCGTGGTTCATATCCTAATCGTCCCGAAAATTGAGAAACTCTTATTGGTAAAAAAGCTTATGGACGATGAAATGCAGTACATCTATTGAAATTCCAAAGCCGTGAGGTTCTAAACTAAACAATCACAAGATTCCATACTTGAGGAAGCTAACTATCAATTCTATTAGCATCAAGAGTAGCCATCGCAGAAACTTAAGCAGGCCATGGTAACAACATCAATGAAACAAACTAACTATGAAGTAAAAAGCGAAGGGAAAGGGAAGAATTACATAGGTATTTAGCTGTCTAACGAAGCTGGAGAAATTATTATGCTTAAAGTTCTTAGGAAGAAGATCTCGAGCAAACTCCGGTGGATCCCAAACGATAAAACTGTTGTTATTAGCACTCCAAGAAACAATCGAATCGGTAGCTGGATCATCAACCATGTCATAGGTCTTGCTCAAGAACGGAGGAGGCGCGTTTGAACTTAGAATCGCCGCGGGCTGAGGTTGAGGTGATGGCTTAATCTCCATTGATTCTCCACCACCGTCGCTGGTGGTTACTTTGCTGGTTACACCATCCATTCGGATTTTTTTTGTTTCCAAGTCAATATTTGGGATTTTGAGAAAACTAGGGTTTCATATAGGAATTGGTGAATTACAAGGAGGTTTTGAAGGTGGGAGAGAGGTTTTGATTGAAGATTTAGAGAATTCTCAGAGAAGATTCACGAGAGAGAGGTATGGGCGGAGAGAGAGATTAATCGAAGAGTGTTTTTGAAATCGATGGAGGAAGGAGAAAGAAAGAGAGACGACGGGAGACCCATGAACAATTGCGAAATTACGGAAATAGACATTTCGCTTTTTGTCTCTAAAAAGCGGATGATTGGGGACGTGTCTAGTTTTTATTGGCTCTTGCGTTCTGTGTTTTGGGTGACTCGCCTGACACGGCAATCAAGTTTTTTTGAGGAGAAAAGAGAAAAAATTTATAAATGAATCAAAATATTAAATTGAGAGTATTTAACTTATTTTAAATTAAAATTTGAAACTTGAAAAAAATATTAAATTATAATTTCTAGATCGAAGTCGTATTTGAAATTTTGAATGATTACAATGACGGTGTTTTTTGGTCACGAAAATCATTACAATGAGTTTTTTTTTTTTTTTTTTTGGTTAAAGGGTTATTACAATGAGTTTTCAGAGAAACTATTGAAAATATAAAATTTGGGAAAATTGGAAATAAAGGATATCTACTTAAAAATTTGTCTATATATCCCTTCTTCTTGTAGATTGGTCAAATAGGTTTTTTAAAAATAAAAACCCAACTTTACCCTCATTTTCTCTCAAAATT